AAAACAGATGATTACTTCTGGTAAGACCACACATTCCTCAACAGCAGAGGCATTAGCGATCGATGTGACACGGCACAAAGGCGCAATCGGACGCACGGCCAGCCTTCGTTGCCAGTCTGTTGATCGAGTCTCACTCTCGCCCTGGGACCGGACCTGACCGCACAAAGCGAACGTGGTGGTGGTGTTAAGGGCACGGCCGTTAGCGTCGACGTCTACGATGCTAATCTGCACGGAGGCATGATCTTTTGAGGTGATGAGGCGGTCTGAGAAGCGGATGCGTCAATCCTCAAGTTTTTTCATGCGGCAAAATGATGCTGACTGGTTGCCGCGCACTTGCGGGGGACGTAGAGATCGACGAGAAGGCCCTGCGAAGAGAATGAGACACGAGGACTACGGCGCCGACGCTTGGCGCACCTGGTCGTTTTCCATGGTCGGTAAATGTGAGTGGTGGAACTGAGTAGTTGCTGATGGATGGGAGTTGTTTGATTGGCCCGGCATCTGATCGCCGAACAGACATATAAATGGCTTGCCGACCCAGAAATCAACATCATTCTCTCTTTCATGTCCTCAATGCATTTCGTTTCCTCATTCGCTTCTTTGCTTTCTTGACTGCCTCCAACTGCTACACGATCCTTAAATTGTCTCGACAGGGGGATTTCGTCCTCACCAGCCTTTCCGCTGTCTACTGTCGATAATGAGTCAAAGTCGTGTAAGATCGAGCTTGGGTTGGGATTCTGTGACTCGGACTCGTTTTGAGTCCGGTTGCTTTTGGATCGCTCCCAGCGCGGCCTTGGCGGATGATGGTGGTCGGACTTTGTTGTGGTCGACGACGACTGTCTTCTCCGTGCATTCGGCGCATAGATCATCTCTCTACGATACGTGTATACATTCGTACCACTGGTTGAATATATCCTATACATTTGATTCCCCCCGCTGTGAAAACTGGTGTGGCTGAGAAATAGAGGTGAAGAAGAAGATTCACCAAGTGCCTGGACGTTATTGACTCGGATGCAGGTCTTGCATGCCAGGGACCGCCTATTCTCGCAGTGAGAACCTGCGCCACATGGAACGCGTACTGCTCCCACTAGTCGCGCGTGAAATAACGTGTTTTACGCGAACCCCCCTCTGAATGGGCTCGCCAACGGGCAAAAGGCATTGTCCCTGCCGTTTTGGGATTCGATACATCTCAATGACAGCTGCTGGCTTATGCAGGCCGTCTTTCTTCTGCATCCACCTTGACCCTAGCCTCTATCGCTCATGGGAAACGAGCAGTCTGGCACTGAGCCTCCGGCATCGACCACGCCCAGCCCCGACGCGTCTTATGTCTTGGTAGCGGATGGTCACTCTGTACGCGTTACCGAGATCCACTGTGCAAGATCGACGCTGACGACTCCTAGATATCCAAGGATGACTCACCCGTTCACCCGACGGTGGGTTTCGCGTCAGCTTCTACCCATGTTTCTGGACATTGACGAACGCGCATAGTTGACTCGCACCGACACCAACACCGCCCAGAGGGGTTCTCCAGCCCGCTCTTTCGCAGACGAAGAACGCGAATTCCATGCCGTTTGTGTGTCGCTTCGCCCTCCTGCAAACGATTGAACTCTACTCTAGATGCACCAATCCAAGCTCAAAGCGAGTACCGATGATCAGAACGCTCGCTCGCCGTGTGCGGGCCCAGCCAACACCTCTATCCCAATATCGGACACGTCTCTGCCACCTACTTTCGAACTATCTTCAGATCTGCCTCTCGACCAGATGTCCCATTTCTTTCCCCATCCTCCCTCTCCCACGGTCTCTCGACAATCGAGCCCTGCACCGAAGGGTCCACTGCCCATAGTACGTGTTCAGCATTGAACATTGCTCGCTCGTTGAACGCCCGTCTAGTCTGCCTTGGAAGAACCTATGAAGAAGCTTGAACTGGGCGATGTCCTCTGGGCTCCTGCAAACCCCGTGATCGTCCGCATCTCTGCGCCACCTGCCCCTCCACCAGTGACGGACGCGACTGCCACGGTGACACCAGGATCTGTCGCTGCTAGTCCAATCTCTGCACTCTCTCGAGAAGACTCACTCGTTGATTTCACTGTGGAAGGAGCCATCGCGTCGTCGACTCCATACGCCTCTTTTGATCTCACGAACGATTCAATCATTAGTGATTCGGTGTGTAGTTGCATCATTCTTTCGATCGTGGGCTGAGGTCTTTCACAGCTGATGGACGAAGAATCAGTCCTGGTGACGAAGAGAAACAAACGCACAGAGGTCAGTCAGCCGTGCGTTTGTGCTCCTTGGTTGATTTAGGTTGGGATGATTCAGGATATATCGAATGCCTACATCAATGAAGGTTCGAGTGTGGTTTTGGACACATCCGACGGGCCAATCCAAGTTCCTCCCAACACCTATGCCGATGCAACCAATGTGGGTGTTCTCACTTTGTGCTGCATGGACGTTTCCTTCATTAGGTCAGATCGCCACTAGATATCCCGATCTCGCTGCCGTTGTATTGGCTGAACCGCTTGCTGGAACACCAAACAAGAAACATGTCGAGCTCCCACCCATTCAAAATGTCGAGGCTACTTCAGCGCACACTGCGGACTGTCCAAACTGGGCCCTGGCTCCGGACGAGCCTGAGGCACCCCACCCCGCATCTCATCAACGTAATTCCAACCGAGCGTCCGACAAATCTAAGCACGAACATAGAAGAGGAAAGCGGAATCGTAAGCCCACAGGGCATCGTGGCCGCCGTGCTAGTGACTGCAGCAGTACACAGACGAATACAAGACAGGCTGAGAGTCGACCTCCTCGGAACGATATCAAAGCTCCGACACATGTAAGTGCTGAGCATCAGGACGACAGTTGGGTCGCACTCCAATCACGTGGCGATGCGCTTTTGTCAGCCCCCAACGGCGCATGGGAGACAGCGAAGGAACAATGTCCATCTTCAGTGCCGACCACAAAGGCTGGGGCACCGCTCTTTGCACAGCACCGGAATGCGCCGCACCAAGCTCAGGTTGTTCCGCAATCTACTTCTTTGGCAAGAACGTCCGCTCACGATCCGCGGTTGCAGCCAGACAAGAATGCGCATCTGGGTCGACAGGACCGTGGATACGGAGCAGCAGTGAATCAGCTCCCGTTTTCTGCACAGGTACATCCGGACAAAGCCTCGTCGTCTTCGAGCCCATCTGAACGTGCTGATGCCTGGACATTGCTTACTCCGCCCACTGCCGGGCAGCCATCCTCGCGGGATGACAGAGGTCAACCTCAAATTGTCGTGCCAAAGACCTCTTGGGCACGGATGTCCACCCACGATCCATGGTTGCAGCACAACGAGAATGCAAGCAGGAATGATCACCAGGACAAAGCGAAAGACGTCTTCGGTGGAACGCTGGTGCCCGAGCAATCCCCTTTCCGCGACCGGGTCAACGTCGCCTCTCAGAATGAATCAACGCACATGCATGTCGCTCTGAAGAACAGCAACAATCCGAACAACATTCAGCAGCATCAGCAGACCCAAGCCCCGGCTCCTTTCGGTTACTCGTCGCACACGGATAACCTCGACTGGACTGGTCTGAGACACAGCAATAACATGGCAGCCGCTCGCGAAGACTTCAACTTTGTCCATTCACCGCCCGACACGTTTGCACCGATGCCGCTTTCGAACAGTTTTGGTATCGGGGCGATGAAATCTGATCGCTTCCAGTTGAACGGTCGACCCCAGCCTCGCTACGAACCACGCCAGCAAGATGGTCGTTGGGCCTCAGACAAAAGTGTGCCAGCTGGAGCTAGCGCATACAACTCTCGTGGCAACAGACTTCCGTCGCAAGAACAGGCATTCCAGAACCACTGCAACAATTATCCGAGTAGACCGTATGGCAATTAGAATCACTAGATGTCCTTAGTTCCCGATGCTATTCAATCTCTCTGAAAGCGCTGCCAGCTGCTTTCGCAATTGGGTGATCTCGGTCATCATCAGTGCCTCGCTCGACTGTGCAGTGTGATAGTGTAAGCGGCAAACCCAGAGGCATGGGCAAGACAAGGCGTACCTGGTTGGTATCAGGGAAAGCCTTGACGAGATCCTCGAAAGGAACTTTGCTGATCACGCGGCCGACGGGATCGTCATCGACCACCGGATCGTGATGCTCAGGTCGCTCGTCCTCGCCTTCGTTATCGCCACTGAGCCAGCGCTTCATCCAAGTGTGTCTGCTCTCTTCTGTAAGCGATTCGTGCAGCGCAATCATGGCGAGCGGCACGAAGAACACGGTGATCATGACAAATCGGTTCAGTTTCGCGTAGGACTTGCGGCTGAGGCCGCATAATCTGTCGACATATTCAAGCAGCTGCAGCCCGGAATCCGTCGCGAGACTCACTCGAACGGAATCAGGAAAAGGACTTCGATGATGTTGAACGGGGAGGGGAACACGAATTCATCTGGCGCGCGGATCATCCCGACCGTCTTGCTGGCAAAGAACGCCAGATATTGGGCTTCAGCGTCATCAACGACGTCTGAATACGCTGAAGAAAACAGCGAGATGAGGATGTTCAGCAGAATCAGACCTGGCAAACGGCGTCAGGAGTGTGTGCTGATCAAGTTTTTGCATTGGAAAGTACCAGTGATAACACCCCATCTGCCATGTATCGGGTGAGCGACAGAGGTGGTCCCACGGTAAGAGGGACGTACAGGTAGTACAGAACGAGTCCCATCGTGCTGTTAGAGAACTTTCCAAAGTCGGGGGATTGCAATAGCGCTTGCACCAGGACATTGGCGATCTGTGCCAACTCAGCATCATGTGTGTTGGTAGAGATAGAGAAACGTACCGTGCCAGAACCTTCAGCACTTCCGTCAGACGCATCCAGAGCATAGAGTCCTTGCCAGAATCCGATAATCAGCACGGACAAAAGCTATACGAGATGTGAGGTCAGGTCAGGTCTCGGCGTTCGAGACTTTCGCACCGCGAAGAAGATGCTGGACTCTTGCAGCATGCGAGAAACGCAAATCTGCATTGTCCCGACATATCTATCCAGTCACCATTTCAGTCTTCTGGGATGCTGAGAAAATAAAGTTGACACACTTATATCCGTCGAACACCGTGATCAGCTCTGATTTAAGGTATTATCTCGCTGCTTCATTCGGAAAGTGAGGACTCACTCATCCTGAAGTGACTGATTCAGCGATATCTCCGTAAACCATGTAGAACAACGCACCATAGCAAAGGCGCAGCAAAACTCAAAATCTGGAAACTCTTCAAGCGCAGATCCGCAGCCTTTTCTTCTTGCCCGGTCATTCCGACCACGCGCAAAACAAACGCGGCAGTCAGGATTCCGTTCGTGATAAAGGATACTTTGATCACGATGGTCAGCTGAGATTTCGCAGCAATTCATTGCAAGCAAGACTCACCAACCATCCAGAAATTGTAAGCGCGGTACGTGACAAACTTGAGGAGCTTGTATAACTGCAGGAGCTTTTTCAGACGATTGGGACATGAGATTTCGATCAACGTACTCGACTCAGATCTAGAGGAGGCGAGCGGTTAGCAAATAGAGAGGACTAGAGCTGGACATGGATGACCTTCGACCATAAACGCCAGAGTCATAGTGTACAGCGCAATCTCCCACTCGTCAAGCTCGCGCGGACCTTGTGATCTCTCGAGCGGTTGCCTCACTGGACCGATGTCAGATTGCATTGAAAGAATGTAGCTGGACTTCACACCTGCTTGGGAATACACAAAGAGGAAGAACAACCAAACGACTATTCGGAACATGTTTTGATACCGTGGCACGGACATTCTCGATGGATCCAAGCGGGCAAAAAAGGAGTCGCTGGAACGCGTGTCCGAGTACCGTACGACTGATGCGGAGTCAGTACCGGGAAAGTCATATGAAAGCAGGCGCTCTACAATCGATGTCATGATTCTCATTGTTTTGCTGGATGATTTCCCCCTTCCATAGAGCGTTCACAACATCCTGGGCTTCGCTAGAAGAAAGGAAGATGGTGCTGCAGAGATTGAGTTTCGGGAAGCGAACAACAGAGTAAGCTCGACGCACCAATGCGAGTCAATCGCCATCTCAAGCGCACTGGCCATGTCGCTCTTGTCTCCGTCTATCTGAATGTGCTGGAAACGCGTCGACATGATCGTGTTGAGTGCATCGGGAGGCGCCGCGTGCACGATCCTTCTTGCGAGGACCTCGCATGCTGTAGCTGTTCGGAGTTTAGGCAACTCGGCTGAAGCCCAAGTATTTCCGCACTAGCCTCGGCCGATGTTCTCGCCATAGTCTGCTGGGTTGTGGTCCGCGTCGTATAGGAATTCAGTGCGCGCCCGGAGCAGGCAATATGGAAGCTTGGCAAAACAGATCACCATGGCGGTGCGAGACTGATCCGGGTCCCACTCACCGCCTCGTGAAAGTCGCCAGCAGCTGCCTTGTACGCCTTGATAACTTGGGGTGTGATCACTCGGCTCGTAGGTCCAGAGATCCTGGAGGCTAGCAGTGAGTTTCTAGAGATGGCAACTCGCCAACCTAAAGCGGGGACTGACGATGCTGGATCCACCTCGACAGGGAGCAGGGTGAGTGTTAGTGCGCGTAGCCGGTTGACGAGCTCTGTTCGGGACAAATTGGATTCGCACTCCCAGGGACGCAGAATGCACACTGACTCGTGAGGACTTCCGGAGCAGGCTGGGGGGACTCTGAGGACATCAGAGGCACCTCTGGATCCATGGCGGACGGATGCAAACTCTGAAGGTTTTCGGTTGACGTCTGGCTCGCATTATGACGCGCTTGATGGATGCACTCTTGACAAATAACGCCAATCACGCTCCATCGCCACCCGCACGACGGTCCGGCCTACTGCTCTAACTGTGCTATATCATTACATATGGATGCGATCGCTACGGGATCATTGACCATTGTCAACGCGCGGATCCCGGATCCCGGATCCTCTGTTCCTGGCGCTCTACGCACGATCGAGTGCAAGTCAGGTCTCATTTGCTGGATCGACGAACAAGATGGTTTCGTCCAAGTTGATGCTCAGGCTGGCGCGGGTCAAGTTGACGCGAAGGGAGGCCTCGTCATCCCCTCGTAAGCGTCTTTGGTTGCTTCTCCGATGTACGGCCATTCGCCGATCTCTTAGCCTATGTCATTCCCATATCCATCTGGACAAATGCTACATCCTCGACCGATGCAATCTCGTTTCTGGGTGTGTCAAACTTCAGCATCCTTCTCGTCTAACTAGAAGCTCAAATGAAGCCAGCGACTTCGCAGAAGCCATGACTGTCACTAACGAAGCCAAAGCGGGTTTTGACGAGGTCGATCTGTACACTCGGGGCTTCAACCTCATCCGTGACAGCGTCGAGTGTGGCGTCACCAGCATGCGTGCCCATGTCGAGATCGACACTGTTGTGAAGTTTACCTGCCTTGACGTGGGACGGAAACTTTGCAAGACCTTTGATGGAATCTGTGATATCCAGCTAGCAGGCATGCATCCGACTAAGCCCTGTTCAAGGATTGATCTCAACCCGACCATCAGCAGCTTTTGCCCAGGAGCCTCTGTTTGACGGGAGTTCGGAAGAACCTGGAGAAAACTACTCCCTTCTACAAGAAGCTGCCGCGTTAGGGACGCTCTCAGTCGTCGGGTCTGCCCCTTATGTGGAACCTAGCTTAGCGCAGGCCAAGTTGAATATCAAGCTCATCCTCGAGCTCGCTCAGAAACACGAGTGCCATGTCGACTTTCATCTCGATTACAACTTGGATCCAACGTCCGAGCCACTGATCTACGAGGTGATTGCGCAAGCGAAGAGACTGTTTTGGCCCACGGGTCGACGGATAACCATTGGCCACGCGACACGTCTACAGCTGCTGACTTCCGATGAGTGGTGCAACCTCAAACAGGCCATCGGCGAGCTCCCGATCACCTTTATCGGTCTTCCTCAGAGCGATCTGTATATGCTGGGGCGAGGCGCGGTGGACGAGCCTCTGGGTCCACCTCGTGGCACATTGAGGGTCCCGTATCTCGCCAATAAACACCAGATACAGGTGGCCTTGTCGGTCAACAACGTGCAAGTGAGGAAATTCACCAATTCTCACGCAAAAAGACTGATTGATGCAGAACGCATTCACACCTCAAGGATCTGTTGATCCGCTCTCTCTCTGCACGCTCGGTGTTGCTTTGTTCCAGACTGCCACGGCGCCAGATCTGATCAATCTTCTGGTCCGTGCACTCTTTGGCAAGAAATCAGAACTGAAAAACGAGCAGCGCGCTGTGACAACAATTTCGAAGAGAGCCATCGCAGACCCCAATGCCACAGCGGATATTTCCGTAGCAATCGACGATCCAGCACATCTCGTCGTTCTGCACGACTCGCCGACCTTACAAGCCGCTGTGCTCAATCCCGGCTTTGACCGGACCACGATCAGAGCTGGCGTCGTGGTCGCACATCGGGAATCAGTGAAATGGGTCAAAACGAGTGTGGATTGATGTAGTGAGTGTGTCATTCCGGGTATATATATATGTGCGTGTGTACACAGCTTCGTGCCGCTCAGGATTCAGCCTGCGCGGGAACCTCCGCGGGGGCAGACTCTTCGGCTGCAGTTGGCTCCGCGACAGTCTCAGCAGCAGCAGCAGTCTCGGCGGCGGGTGCCTCTTGAGGCTTCTCCTTCTCGCTTTCGAGTTTCTGCAGCCATTTCGTGACAAACTTGGCATGAGCTCCGTAATTCAGGGTTCCCTCGATGGTGTCCCTAAGGGCCGTTGGTTCAAAATGTCATCGTTACGAGCCCAGGATCAAATCATACCGGATGATCCCCTTCGCGTCGATGATGATAGTCGTCCGGGCCACATCGGCGAGCCCAAACAGACCTTTGCCGATGCCATATGCCTTCGCGGCCGTGCCCTCAGAGTCGCTCAGGACCGGATACTGCATATATGCGTTACAAAGGATGTCAACAATTCGTCGCATCGCAACTTACAGTAAGCTTGTTCTTCTCGACAAAAGTCTTCTGTTTTTCAACAGAGTCCGGGCTGATGCCGACGATTTGGACATTGTCGGCCTGAAACGCTTCCTTCTCTGTAGCGGCAGATGTTGAGCGCCCAGTGGTTGGTACGGAGTGGAAAAGGAATCTACCGGCGATAGCATTTCGGAACTGGCAGGCCTCTTTCGTGCATCCATAAGACCCTGATTTTGTTCAGCGCCCAAGAAATCAGACCATTTGGCTTAATAACATACCAGCCTTGGGGTAAAAGAAAATGACCGTAGGCATGCCGCCTTCTCCTGGGGTAAGCTTGAACTCTTCACCATCATAGTTGGGAAGAGCGACCGCAGGGGCGTTCACGCCGATGAGGGAACGGTGGGCAGGAGCCATAGTGTGTGAGAGGAAAGAGAAAAGAGGGATAAGTAACGTTAACGGACGATCCCAGGCCCCAAAAAGAAGTGATAGCCGGCGGTCGATGCTTAACGCCAATCACGTCAGTCACCTGCTCTGTGCCGATTGGGTCACGGTACCGCGATACCTAAATCCGAGTGGCGGCCGTTCTTGTTGCTCTGAAGATGAAGAGAGCAGAGGTTTCGTTCAATCGATGCAGTTGGGATCGAGTTGAGTGAGGAGGGACCATGATCTCCACGGATTTAAAGGTCATTTGCCGAGCTTCTCGCCATCGGCGTCTCATACGAACTGTCTGAAATACCTCACTCGCATGAAGGTGAGCAGTTTGGTTCGAATACTAGCTGGCTGGATTCCCTCGTTAAGCGGCAAAACGTTCAAGGGCAACTGTAAGGTTGCCTTGCTTGTCAAGGCTTCTCCAGACCCTAAATTCGTGCATCAATCAGATCCCATCAATGATGACATCAATCAGAGGACTCTGTTCCAGCATCTGATCCGATCAATTTTACCTTCGTCTTGAGTATGTCATGGTCTCATTCACTCTTCACTCTTATCTTTGTACTTACGCTCCCTGCTGTTGCTGGCATTATAGCGCGGCAAAGCAGTGTAATTTATAGTTCCATGCATGATGATGACTCTCTTTTGCAGTGTGCACCCACCTGTGGGCTGTTTTTGTTTCTGCTCGTGTCACTCTCTAACAGCGCTGCTTCACATGCCACCATTGCGCACACAAGCGCGTACACTGCATGATGTTGACTTGCCTCATCTAGTTTCTGCCGGCAATGCCTGATATGGACAAGAGCCTGAAGAAGAAGACGAGAGCATCTGGCGCTTAGTTACAACTGCACTGGTATTTTACTTGTTTTATTGTATATAAATTTGATCATATGGATTTAATTAGCAAGCAAGGCATAATGTTGGCAGAGCCAACGCTTTCTAGTGTTGAACATTGCAATGATACCATCAGTGATCCAGTCAGCACCCGCTCCCACAGCCACATCATCCGTCATCTACAGAACCCTGAACCACCGCAGTGTAGTCGCTCAAATCATGCCCGTGAGTCGTCTACCTCGTCCGATGCGTCAACTCAAACATTCGAAAGGCCTATCACTCATCTTTCAATGAAGAGCCCGACATGCGTCTTGCAGGCAATATGGCTATCCTACCCATCAAGACCAAACTGCGCGGCCCCGCTCCCAATGGTGTGTTACTTCGTTCAACAACGTGCCCCGCCGAGATAGCTTTTCCGTTACTTCCAGCGGACCCAGACACGCCAGACATCATAGACGAAACTCTCGACCTCTTCCGTGCCAACTCCCTGTTCCGCAACTTTGAGATCAAAGGTCCCGCAGACCGCACCCTCATCGTCCTCATCCTCTACATATCCGATTGCCTCGCCAAGATCGGCTCGAACCGCACAGTACCGACGCAAATCGAGGCGGGGAAATTCCTCAACACGCTTTCCGTCGACAACTTCGCTATCCCTGGCGATGCCAACTTTGCTTTGAACGCACACTACGCGCCCCCGTCTAGCCGGCAGGAAGCGGGTTTGTGTCTTTGAGCTTGGTAGATGTCCGTGACTGATGCTGCACAGATGCACTGCGCCAATACCTTGTTCAAGTACGCCAGGAACTGGCTTCCCGCCTGGTGGAACGGCTCTACGCGGATGGAACCGGGAAGCCGAGCAAATGGTGGATGTCGTTCCAGAAGAGGCGGTTCATGAACAGGAGCTTGGCGTGAACGGGACGTTGTATGACAGACAACGCATGTATATCATCATAATCGCGGAGCCATTACAAGGTTACAATCGTAAAGTGACTAGCCTCATTTGCGCTTCCTCCTCTCGTTCGGATTCTTTCTCCCATGACCTATCGTGGGCATGTCTCCAGCATGACGGTTAGTACGGCCTTTGCCGCCTGCGCCGACAGACAACATTTCCGGCACCCAGTCGGGATCCAGCCAGCTGCCAATTCCGTTGCCCTTCTGCGACATGAGACTCCTGTTCATTTTGGTCTCTTCCCTCTCCCGACGACCGTCGGCCATCTTCTTCGCCCTGATCCATTCTGTCTGGTCCTCACGCAGAATCAGTCCTTCTCCGGTGCCGGTTTTTGCGGAACCCGGTTTCGGGGCTGGAATGGAATATTTCGTGCCGCGTATGCGATACTGGAAGTTCGATTTGAGATGCACCTGCATGACCGGGGCATCGGTTGGTGCATCCGGGCTTGAGATTGTTACAGAAGCACGGAGGAGGGTTGGGTTGCCGCATGACGGACAAAACTTTTTGGTGTTATCCTTGCATATTCTATCGACCCATGAAGACGGGAGCATCAGACGAGAGATAGGACGCACTTGAAGCAAGCGTGACATCGAAGAACCCAGCTCTTCACTTTGTGTATCCGTTTACCCTCCGTGCCAACCAGATTCAACCCCATCTGCAGAAGGACGTTCTGCATCGCGAAGTCGGCGGTCATGCACCCGACGCTGATACGCTCTATCATTTTTCCCTTGCCCTTCCGCTTGCTGTCTGCATCGTCATCGGGCAGGATGCCCATAGCACGGGACTTGTGCAGAGCAACATTGCCAGGGGTGATCCATTCACCTTCTCCGTCGTCCTCGTCAGATGGATCTTCGAAGATCGGCTCATCAGATGCGGATGGTCTGGGTGTAGGCGAAGCTGAAGTTTCTTTGTCATCCCCGTCGTCTAGTGGATGCAGCTCGACATCCAACGGCTCGAGATCTTCATCCTCGGATGTCGCTTCCTCGTCTGATTCGGAATCTGGAGGTCCATCTTCAGTCTCTGACACGATTTCCACAGCTTCGTCTTTTTCTATGGGATGCGCTACCGATGATTCCGGTGAGGGGATAGGCTTGGTCGATTGGGCATCGTTGATCTACTACCTAAGGGTGAGTAAAACCAGGCGAGATATAACGGGTAACATGCCTTCTCTTCGGTGTTTTCCTTCGTGAGAGACTTTTCTCGCTGATTCAGCGAATAAGTCAGTGCCAGAACGCAAAGATCGGGGTGCGATAGGACTGCATAATCTCCAGTCTTTTTAGCCCACTGGATCACTGCCTTCGATGAGATCAGGCTATATGAGCGATATTTTGGAATCACCATTAGCCAGGCTGGCTGCATCGGGCGCTGCAACTTCAACTTTGACTCCAGCAGTCAATCCGAGACGCTCGAAATGCTCTCGAGCATTTTTGTCCTTCAGCTCAGCCAGAACTTGAGGGACCGTGTAATACGTTTCCGCGAGACCTCTTAAAGGCGATAGAGAGAGGAGTGGGCCTGCATCCAAGACGAGATTCTTGCACAGCGGTCCAGACATTTTGGCAGAGCGGAGAAAGTGAATTATTTTACGATCGCTGATTAGCGTCACATGTGTGTCGCGACTCGCGCTCACGTGACTCTAGTTTGACTTCAGCTCTGCCACTAGCTGGTGCCTCATTGCAGTTATCTACAGGGCTTGAGGCGGGCAACAACATCTAAATCTATCTATCCCAATCTCACCACTATTATCCTTCTCGGAATCTTTGCCTCTGTGGTTGCGTGTGCCGCTTTCTTCATCACACGCATGCTTGGTCACCACACGAAACAAGTCCATACGTACGGCAAGCGCCAGACCCGGATCGTCAATGCAGAAGAACGCTTCCCGAGGGCGCCTCCGTCCATATTTGACGATCTTCCAACGCAGGTTATGGTCCCAGTGGTTTCACGCATGAAGCGGCGGGAGAATACTATTGTCGGCACTGCGACGAGGACCAAATCTAAGACTAAACCGCCTTCGCCCAAGGTCATCCACGTCAGCAGAAGAAGTCGCGCGTCTCCTCCTGCCCGAAAACACCCCCAGATTCGCCGAATCGAAGCCGGAGACGATGACGGACCCGCAAAACGGACACCGTCCCGTCAGCCCCTTGGCGTTCGACCGGCCAATACACCGCGATCACCCCAAGTTGCACTTCCTCTCAAGTTGCGACGGAGCTCGCCGAAGATGACGCCCTTGATCAACAAGCAGTTTGCGCCATACATGGACATCTTGGTGCTAGATGACATGGGAAATACGCTGAGCCAGGAGAGGCGGGTTTCGAGGCCGACTGTGATCATAAGTGAGTGGTACACAGATGATTGGACTCGCTTTGAACGGGATGCAGGTAGTGACAGTGAAGACGATCCCCCTGTGCAACCTAAACCAGCTCGCAGGCTACGAAAATTAGCCCCCTTGCGAATTGAATCGGATGAATCAGATTCGGAGGACGAAATCCCAATGAGAATCGAGACACGCGTCCCCAATCCACATTTCGATCCGACTACACGACTGAAAGTAGAAGTGGTCATTCCTACTGCTGTTTCCATTGCATCACTGCCCGCGATCCGACCACCACCAAGGCCCTCGCTCAAATCCTCGCTCAAGTCTTCAGCTAGTCAACGACCTCGTGTCGGCTCTCCAATTATCAAATCACGGCAGTTGACTCCTGCTCGCCGTAGAGGTCTTTACACTCCACCCTCGCCTCCATCACCTTGCACCTCGCTGGACGAAGATCTTTCGTTTGATTTATCTTCGTTGGAAATCTCCGTAATCCCGGGATCGGAGCAGCATTCTGCTTCTGAGGAGGTTCCCGAGTATCTCCAACCACTCCTGGCTGAATGCGGTCAGACAGAGAGTGGGGTGCACGAGTTCTCTGCGTTCATCCGAACGTTCCCTTTGGATACGTTGGTCCGAAACAGCGATGCTCCGTCGACGTTCCGGAAAATCGGCGAGGCCAGCTATTCGGAGGTGTATGGGATCGGAGATGTCGTCCTCAAGGTTATCCCTTTGCGAGACGAGTCCCACCGGCAACTGCGGCCCAAAGCGCGAGAAGACACTTTGGACGTGCCATTCTCGACGGACGTCAAGGATGTGCTCAAAGAGATCATCGTCACCGATGCGATGGGCCAAGTGTGCGACGGATTCGTGGATCTGTTACGGACCTATATTGTCAAGGGCACGTATCCGCAAATTCTCTTGGAGCTTTGGGACGAATATGAGCGGGAAAAAGGGACTGAGAGCGTCCGTCCAGGTGTGAATTACTGCTCAGAGCCCGTTGGCAATTCTGACGGTTGGTAGATACGTTCACGGTATCGCAGGTCTACGCAATCATTGTTCTCCCCAATGGTGGTCCCGATCTAGAGGCGTTTAAGTTCTCCCCAAAGACACCGTGGAGGCAAGCATCCAGCATCTTTTGGCAGGTTGCAAAGGCTCTAGCACATGCCGAACAACTAGTGTCGTTTGAGGTCAGTCCACTCAACCTATTTTTCAACCTCCTGAATCTTAGGGCGTTTACAGCATCGCGATTTGCATCTGGGGCAGATCCTTGTCAAAGACATGCCGGTCCAACCTTCGCGGGCCTTGCAAGCTGTCAACCAGAACCGCGCGGCACTGACCAAGACAGCACCTGTGACAATGGACTCGTCAGCAGCTGCAGTGCAAGTCACACTCATTGATCTGGGCCTGTCCCGGATGGACGCCGGTGATGGGGCTGGAGGCGAAATGGTGCATTGGACTCCGTTTGACGAGGAAATCTTCGCCGGAGAGGGCGACTACCAGTTTGACATATATCGCTTCATGCGGGATCACAACAGCGGCGACTGGGAAGCCTTCCATCCTTTGACTAATTCAATGGTGCGTTGTTTTATTCCATTCACGGCTGGGAACTTACAGGCTCAGTGGTTACATCACCTCGTTACCAAGCTGCTCAAGGGAAAGGGTCTGAAAGCGCCAGCTCGAAGAAAGACGATCACACCGAATCGGACGTCCAGCACCTTCAGCGAACGGGACTGTCATGAGTGTTTGCTTGATCTCGAGGAATGGCTGGGAAGAAGTATATCGGCTGTTTCCGAAGTGGAAAAAGGCAAGAGCAAGGGAAGAAAGAAGAGAACGATGCCCTCTGCTTCGAAAGTCACCCCGCCAGCCTTGCTCGAAGGTCCTATGTGTGCTGGCGAGGTTGTTGGTTATGGTATCAAGAAGGGATGGATCAACGCGGTTGCCTAATGCAATATATTTGTCATGTTGTAGGTTATTGTTGGCTGAGGGTCTCTCCCATGAAGCCAAGCAGATATAAGATCGCAGCTGTGCCTCGATGCACTTGAAGTGCGAAAGCGCGTGAAACGCGTCCACGTGACAGAGATCAGCATTGTGACCGATCATGCCCACGATATTTGCGCGTGTGATGGAGGAGATTGAAACGTCGTGCGCAGTTACCTCGATCTTGCACGGTTAGCATCGCCTCATGCCAACGCTTCACTCTCCATCGCCACTGGTGTAGAAGCTGCAACGAGATTATGGAAAAGTGCGTAGGGTGCTGATCTGCATGCTCGCACTGATTGGCGCAGTGTTTCGCCGGTCCCCTCACAAGACGCCGACATTCTTGTATCCGACCAAAACAACATCGTAGCTGCTTTGGAATCCATGGAAGCGCGTGGGGACTGCTCTTCGCTCGTTGAAGATCGCAAGACTCTGATGATCGCGCTCTCGAACCTCCACACGCGCCGGAACGCGCTGGCGCCCGTTTCCCGGCTTTCTGCGGAGCTTCTCTCTGAGGTCTTCCTCATACTCACCGCCTACTCGTGCGTCTCAGCCAATCACCCGGGGTACATCACACCGGCCGAAGCCCGCCTCTCGATCGAAACCGTATGTCGGCACTGGCGATTGGTGGCGTTCGGATGCGCTCGACTGTGGAGCAACATTGATTTTGGTTTCGACCCGACATCGCGCGTCAGAGAGTCGCTTGAGCGATCGCACGGAACGCTCTTGACGGTGCAGGCGAATGTGTCGATGCACGAGTCGGTGGGGGAAAATGTGTTGCTGGTGCTTCCGGACCACCTGTTCCGCACGCAATGTCTCGATCTAGGGTTGACGGGCAACTATTATGAGCGGCTTAGGTCCGGTTTGGTTGCTCCCGCGCCCAAGTTGGAGGTCCTGCGCCTGCATTGCAGCAATGACACCATCTCTCTTGCATCAGATGCCTTTGCAGCACACATTCCCTGTCTGCGCCAACTGGAACTCGTGAATTGCAGCATTCCCAAGTGCTCCGTGATGTTGCGTATGCAGCTCACGTATCTTTCTGTGTCGGATATTCCGCCGGAGCTTGCGTTTTCTGTCATGGAATGGCTCGAGGTTCTGGCTGCATTGCCTGAACTTCAGGTGCTGACGATTGTCTCCGCATTCGCCAGCACCAGTCAGAGCGTGGAGAAGCATTTGCCCTCTATCCATTTGCCAGATCTCATCGCAATCTCTCTCGGGGGGCATATGTGGAACTGCACGGAGTTATTAGTACAGCTCACCTTCCCTCCCACTCCGTGCATTGAGATCGACTGCGTCTCTCTTGCGATGGAGCAGCCGATGGAGCTGACATGTCTCTCGATCTTGCTCGAGACCCTCGGCAAACTCTTGAAGGCCCTTCCGGCTGGTGAGAGGCTGCGTGCTCTGGGCGTTCGATGGCTCTCTAATACCGAGCTCGTGCTGCAGGGATCGAGCGATGCGGAAGCTAACTTGTCGCCGGACACCGACAGCTCGCCGGAGTTCCAGCTGTCGTTCGTGCCGAGGTCGTACGTGTTTCCGCTGCTTTCCGCGGTGCTTTCGGCTTTTCCGACGTCCGGTATCTCAAAGCTGGACATCTCTCCTCCACCGTGCGAGTGTGATTTGCCAAGCCCAGCGCACCTCCTGCACATGGACGATTGGCCTCGACTTTTTCGGTTCTTCCCCGCAGTGACCCATTTGTATCGAATACGATACGATTTGGTGCTGTGTCTGCTCAATTTGATAGAGGAGGACCCGACAATTTTCCCTGCCCTCTCTACATTGGGCCTGGTCAACACTTCATTCGAGACTCCCGGCGTCTTCGACACTCTCATTCGCATGCTACGCAGCCGTCAGCGGCCAATCACCAAAATCTCGTTGACGTTTTGCACGAATGTGGCGGCAAGATTGTCTGCTTTGAGAAAGACAGGCGTTGCAATCGAATGGGATGGCAAGGCTCGCTTTGAGAGGCACAGTGACGAGGAGACTAGGTTGAGACGGATCCGGTTTGGGTATGCGATTTGGGTGTGAAGGCTGCATGTATATTTGTGCACATCAAATCATCGACTTCTTTCTTTTTTGGGGGGTTTCCAGCGCTTCAGCCACCGACAATGCGTTCATTACTATGTATTTGCAGGACACTTGGTGTATGTAGCGATTTATTCAAGTGTGTCGTTCCCCCGAGCTGCTTATGAGCAGGATCCGCCCGCGACGTCAATGTTCGCGAGTGAAGGGATCTCATCGTCCGTGAAGATCTTGAACTTGGAGACCGGGACGCCCTCGAAGGCGGCAGCGAATCGCTCAGCCGTGTTGTTTGCGCCATCGACTTGTCGAATCCAGGCGCAGGCAATGAAGTCTCCGTATTTGCGGATGCTATAGCGGCCAAGGTCAGGGGATTCTGGAGAGCGAGGTGGTATTGTACTCACGCCTCGGCGTAGGTCTCGGGATCCTTCTGCGTCGAGTCTCCGATGGTCAAGAACTTCTTGCCCGGGTACATTCCCTGGATACGGTCGATCATGGCAGACTTGTACTCAAAGATTCCGTTGCTCTGCACACGCGGATCATCAGCATCTGGGTCCTTCAGTCCAGACACACGCAGAAGACGAACCTGAGCAAAGTTGATGATGTCCTGGATGTTCGTCGTCGTCAGGTTCTGCAGCATGATCGGTCCGTTGGAAGCAGAGTACGTCGTCGAGATGAAGTCCCGCAGGAATGGGTACAGCTGGAACGGCGAGCCAGAGACGTAGACGAATTGAGGGGAGTTGAGCGACTTGGCGAGTGACGCGTAGAGCTCGGGCATGCCCGTCACAGGCACCGGCGTGTCGATCAGCGTCGTTTGCGCAAGTTGCAGCTTGTCGAGCGTGTGCGAGACCTTGACCGTGTCGTCGATGTCTACAGTTCTATGAGCACCAATTCCGAGCACGGAACAATCAACGACATACCAGAGATGACACCAAATCCGCTGTTCGACGACGGGAACATGGTAAAGTTCACGTTCCGGTTGTTCAAGAATCCGCTGAGCTTGACATCACCCTGCACAGCGGCGTCTCCGCTCGCACACGCTCCGACGGAGACATTCTGGATCGCCATTCCCCCCGAAGCCGTCGAGGGAAGCGTCGCCGGCTGCGCACATCCGTCTACGTTGACAGTCACCGCTTTGCCCGAAAGCCCGAGCGTGGCAAACAGCGCGAGCCGGCCCGTGACGGTGTCCGCCGTGCTCGAGCTGACGTTGAGCCCGATCGCCTTCAGGGCGCTCGTGACGCCATCGATGAGCGGAGAGATGCTGACCTCGCGCGTCGACGCGTAGGCTTGCAGCTGAACGAGTGTGTTTCCGGGGTTGGCTGGGTCATCGAAGGCCGGGGCATCAAAGACAAGAACATCGTCAAGTGCGTTAATCGAAGACCGTTCAGCGGGGGGTGCGTATCCGCGCGGCAGAGCGTTGACCGAGGCGAGAGCAGCGAATGAAAGAACGAAGGAGGAACGCATTGTCAAAAAAGAGGTGGCGGAGAAGGAAGGGAAAACTGGTCAACAGTAGCTGGACGGGAAGAAAGAAAGCCGTTGACATTATCTGTACAGAAGAGTCGATTAAATACCACCCCAGGACAGGAGATCTTCCATCGTCGTGATAGTATGTCAATCAATCAGTGTTGCCACAGATCACCTCAAGGAGGATCAAGGCAAGGCCGCTCAAACGCGAGCCAAGGTCGGCCTGGTGATGCGAGTCGCACACCTGGGCTGGACTGACAACCATGCAGCCACGCAATTGGACTGCACGTCTCTTCTTCCCTCAACAACTCGCGTGGTGGGGTGGTCAAGTGGGCTTGGCAGTTTCAGAAAAAAGTCTCACACAAGTACCGCATTCATGGACCTCTCAGTCAGCCACATGCGGGAGCCCAGACTCTGCGAATTTGTTGTCGTCTGCTTGTTCAATGGTAGTGATTCGTGTGGATGAAGGTAAGTAGTACCAGTAAGAATTAGATGCACGCATCAGCCGGGCCGCTGTCATCGAGATAAGATAAGATCACGCTCGATTCTGTCATTTCGGCGTCAGGACGAAGCGCGCAGCCTGCTTCTCACGCGCTGAACCTGGAGGACCACTAGTAACCATGACCGACTTCGATCTATCGCCCTTCAAAGCGATTATATTCGACTGCTATGGAACATTGGTCGTAAGTCTCTGCTTGCCAAGTAGTGGTCCTTTCGTTTGATCGCGCTCTCAAACCCCGTTTCTACTAGGACTGGGAGTCGGGCATATATACCGGCCTTCAACCTCTGCTGGCCCGGTTCCCCTCCTCAGCGACATGGTCTCGGAAAGAAGCCCTCTTGGCATTCACCGAGATCGAGAAAGACTTGCAAGCGAGCGATCCCTCGATCCTCTACCGTGATCTCCTCTCCCAGGCACATCGCGTTCTGACCCGCACGCTACAAGAAACGCACGCAGGGGAGATACCAGTGTCCATTCCAGAGGAGGAGCATGCTGCATTTGGACAGTCGATCAAGGACTGGCCCGTCTTTCCAGACACTTGCGAAGCCCTGCGCGTCTTGGAGCAGCACTACAAACTCACGATCCTGTCCAACGTGGACCATAACTCCTTTGCAGCCACGCATGCCAAACTCTCTCAGGACACTGCCAATCAGTCGGCTTACGTGCGCGGCGCCGCGCCCGGTCAAAACTGGCTGCCGAAAAGCATCTCGGGGTGCAAGTCACCCTTCTCGCTCATCCTCACCGCGCAAGACACCGGGGCCTATAAACCCGATCCTAGCAGTATGAGCTGCGCCTTGGACGCCATCCGCAGTGAGTTTGGCGTCGATGGATCTCAGGTGCTCGTCGTCGCACAAAGCTTGTTCCATGATGTCGATCCTTCGAGCCGGATGGGCATCAGTGCCGTCTGGATTGACCGCCAGGGCGCCGTCATGGGGCTCGAGACTTCCGGGGAAGCGCCGAAGTGGAAGAGACGGTTCGAGACGTTGGGTGAGATGGCTGCTTCTCTCGAGGCTACTTAGTAGCGGGTGAGCGGCAATCACATCATTGATTTGATCACATCAAGTTGATAAGATTAGCCTGAGGGTTGTGGGTCTGTAAGAACCTATGTTGACAACAACTATTATTCAGGTCTCATGATTCGTGGAGAGCACGGATACTTTTATGTAATAAAATTGATCAGAATTTGGACTGCGACCGTTCATTTTGTTGGTGGAACAATTTCTGATCCGAGAAGGTAACTAGAACAGCGAGACATGGGTGATAATACATGTACATCGGAGGCATGGCACGACATCGGCCGACTCCTTTTTGATACAGCACCAACGAGGGCAGTTTTTTACAATTCAGCGAGGCTGGTGCGATTGCTGGAAAGATTTCGTCAGAAAGCATTGGGGATGTCAACGGAGGAGATACTCACCACTTCATCGGCTGAACGCTTGTCGACACCCTACTGAGACATTTCGTCCTCATTGGAGTCTTCCGTGTCGGCTGGAGCAGCGACAACGGACTTTTTCAGCGGCAGGGTTTCCCTTGGACCCTTGTGCAAGAGCGGGAATTTATGGCTCTGCAGGCTGAGTGTGTCGAGCAGCAGAGTCCATCGGCTCGGGTGTGGTGCCCTTGCATCGATGGCTGGATTAACTCGTAAGCTTCGATGTGGAGGCAGAGGCGAAGGAATGGGACACTCACTGCATACAACGACATCTTGACAGAAGCTGATCGCACCTTTAAGGTTCTCCTCATCCTCCTCGTCACCGCAGAGAGTGGATATGTCCGAGATATCGGATGCGACCGAGTCCCGTCGGGGCCGAGTCTTCAGAATAGACTTGACAGAACTCGGCGCTCGGCGGCGGTGGGAAGGGACGCGAGTGGGAGCAGAACCCGAGGCGACGTAGCCGGGGATGGTAGAAAATGCGGTGCGTGTGTACATGGTGGTTGTGGCAAAGGTTGTTTTGGATGGAAGTCGGGGCCGGGGTGTCCTTATATGCACTGCGCAGGGGACCCTGATTCAGAAGTGAAGCGGCAGTGCAGTAAGACATGTCTCAGTGCATTTGGCTCAGCAATACCTGAATCCGTCTTCAATTGCACCCGAGAACATCGCATGAGTCCACTTCTGTTCAATCTGTCATCTGGCCCGCATAGAGCGCAACGCACATAATCGGCAAAACTGTAAAAGCGAGAGACCGTCCTGATTGGGTATGCGACTAACCTTTGAACAGATAGGAGCTGATTGGATTGACGTCATCAGCTTACATCGAGATGATAGAAAGGTTCGGGTAAGGTCTGAGTGCATAGCAGCTGTCTAGCCCCTTGAAAGCGCAGGAGAATGAGGGTCTAAGTTTTAAAGGCGGAAGTCCGGCCATAGATTGCACTAACAGGTACATGAGATAAATAGATAAAGATGAGGGTATTCCCTCAGATCAACTGGTTGGAGTTGCGGTATCAGTCATTGTCCTTGGAATTTATTTTGCGATGGGCGGGAAGAACCGCATCTTTCGCTGTCTTCTTGTCAATAGCTTCGCCCACATACGTAGGGAATCTGCGCGGTCTCAGAACGCTATCCAACAAAGTGAGCAGAGTTGAATGCTCACCGAGGGACACCGTCGCGGGTCAGCTCTTGAAATCTGTAGACGATGATGGTCCCAATCTTAGGTGGATCCTTGCGCAGCTTGTCTGACAGGCCGCTCCCGACATTGAATGTCTGCAAACCAATTTAGACGGCCGAGTCCAGCACGGAGCGAATGAACGTAGCACACCTTTCCAGAAGCCATCTTGCACTTCAGAGCACCCGTGACACCGGTATGCTTCCCGCTGCCAGGCTTGTAGCCGGTTATCTCGGCCTCGGCGTCATAAAAGGTCTGTGGGTGGTCAGCGACATCGGCCGGATGAGCAAACCATATACGTCACCTTGACTTTCAGCAACGTACTGGAGCGGCGACCTTCGTACTTGCTGTGGACTGGTCAGTGGGATTAGGCGGCAGCCAAAGTGGAGACTGACGAGCCAGGCTTGCGCAGCATCAGGCCTTCTCCACCAAGGGTCTCGATCTCTTTAAGCTTATCCAAGACATCCTTGCGGTTCTTGAGCTTCTCCTGCTCAACGACAATCACCTCAGCACACTCCCATTTGCCACCGGGTCCGAACAAAGTCTTCAGATGGGCGACCCGGTCCTCGAAAACGCCTTTATCGGAAGGAATGTCGAAGATCTACAGGGGAATCGAATCGAGAGGCACGAGATGCAACCAGTTGAGACATACCTGGAAGGTTATTTCCTTCCAATGCGGCGAATTCATAGTCTTGACGATCGAGACAGTGTCCTGGAATTTGCCTCGCCCGCCAAAAAGCTCTCCATCAAGGGTAATATCTTTCGGGAGTTCTGCAACAGAAAATCAGCGGCGTGCTCATCGTGTGAAGATTGACTGCTGACTGTCAAGGAACCACTGCGGCGGTGTGAACGGATTTCCCAGTCGGCTGACCATTCCCTTTCCGTTATAGAAAGTCCTGTCGCAGTAATTAGGGACGTGCAGTAAACGATGGAGGAAATAGCATTACCGGACACCATCCAGTTTCTCGGACACCCACCATCCTGTCGGGTCCGGCCCGGTTTCAATATCCCACTTGTTTGCGAGTAATAACTCGGGAACGCCCTTGACTTGAGCTGGGTCGTCACTGTCGTCGTCAACTTTAACACTGTGTTTGGAGACAGGCTTCTTGCTCTTGGACTTGGGTTTAGTGTCCTCGTCGTCGTTCGCCGTCCGGCCAAGACCTTTCGACACTGGTTTCGCCGCTTTCTTCTTCGGTTTCTCAACCTCCGACGCCGATTCGTCCTCGTCGTCGCTGTCCACCTTCTTGCCCTTTTTGGGACTGCGCTTCAGCGCGGCCCTCTTCGCAGTCTTCGTCTTCCTTTTCTTGGGCGCATCCTCAGAATCTTCCGACTCGTCGTCGCTGTCATCCCGCCCCTTGCTCTTCTTGACAGCCTTAGCCTTTCCTCTCTTCTTAGGTTTCTCATCCTCAGATTCCGAATCCTCATCGCTGCTGGTCTCATGTTTCCTCTTCTTCGAAGTCTTCTTCTTCTGCTTGGGCTTGACTTCCACCTCCGATTCAGATTCAGTTTCCGGGGCCCGTCGCTTCTTTCCCTTCGCAGCTTTCTTTTTCTTGGGCTTCTCATCCTCTGAGGACTCCCCATCGCTTGATCTCACTTTCCTCTTCTTTCCCTGCTTCTTCTTGGGTTTCTCTTCCTCAGACGATTCAGCCTCCTCATCGCTGCTGTATGCCTTCTTCTTCATCCTACCCTTCTTCGCAGGCTTCTCCTCCTGATCCTCCGAATCGTCATCGTTGCTCTCCTTCTTGATCTTCCTCGCCTTCTTCTTAGGCTTCTCATCCTCATCCTCATCCTCCTCATCTTCGTCGTCGTCTTCATCATCCCTACGCCGCTTCCCGGTCTTGGCTTTAGCCTTGGACGCAGGTTTCGCCTTGGACGCAGGTTTCGCTTTGGACGCAGGCTTCTTCGATCCAGGGAGTCCGGGACCGGATGGGTTCTTCCACTTCAGACGCGCCGCCTCATACTCATCCCCAAAGAGCTCCCGGAGGTGTTTGCATGTGCGCGCATCAACAGGGATCCCACCCTGGTTGCGCCACGCCTACGGAGCCGCAGGAGGTTTGAGCCCACGGGCGAAGGAGACAAGGAGGAAGGGAGCGCACCGGGCAGACGCAGTAATAGTGGTCCCAGGTTCGCTTGACTTTGAACTTGAGGTTGCTGGATGAACGGCAGTGAGCTGTGCCGTGCGGAAGACGCGACACGGATTCAGAACACACCTGGACATAGAGCTGACTTCCGTATCCTCGCCATCTGCGAGGAACGTCTTGGGCTTCACCCCGGCAATCTCAGCGAGTACATCGCTGGACATGGTAAGAGCAGACCAGTTGGCAGTCACTGCCTGTTGTTGCTCATCAGGCAGGCCCCTGGCGTTGAAATGACAGTGGGCGTCGCGATCAGTGATGCTCCGTCATACACGCGCTTGGGCGTCGAACTCAAAACAACACAAATAGCACAGCCACCATTATCAGTGGGCATAAGCTCTGAATTCAAGCTCATTCGCAGATATCGTAACAGCTAAACATGACTCCGCTCGATGAATTCAAAGCCACGCTACCATCTCCATTCCACATTGCCGGAAGAACGACCCCTGACACCCTTGTAAGGCTTGTAAGTCTCTCCGGTGACCTTCAATTGATCCACTTTGAGCGCCGAAAACGTGTACGATGTGATGTTGAATCGGATTTGGACAGCGTGTGCTGGACGTGGAACGGAAGGCCTGAAACCGACTCATTCAGCCAGCAGAAAAGGACGATCAACCGTGTGACCTACGATGTAAAGGAGCCCCGCAAAGTCCAAACGCTAGAGGGCGGCACCACCGGTATCTCCCACCGCACAATCTGCCACGATCCACCATCAGCCATGACTCGGAGCGGGTATCAGGCCTACGTGCTTACAGCTTTCCTTGAGTCATACGTCCACGATCCATTACCCGACCCAGCAGGCATCCCTTCATTGAAACGGCGTCCGCTATCCCCTCGAGAAGTCACGCATTTCACTCCGCTGGCACCGTCTCCCAGATACATCTCTGCCACCAGGGATTCCATCGATTGGCCGGGGATGCGGGAAGTCAGCTTCAATTCAAAAGTCCCTGCAAGCAGCAGTCAGTCATCGGTACACGATGCAAGAGAGAGAGAGAGAGAGAGACTCGCCGCCTGATTCGGTCAATTCAACCGTTGGTTTGAGCATAAACGGAACGGGCACGTTGTCCTTGCCAGGAAGGACTGTATTCCCCGATCGGGCGCTTGTTGCCGTCGCAGTTGGTGAGAATCGGTACTCTGCGAGTGTAAAATGTCCATCTGGCGGTACAAAGGACAGCGAGCTGTCTCGTTTCCAACGCTGTAATCTGCACAACTGTCAGCCGGGTATCCAAAGATATAGCGAGATTACACACCTGACACATGGATGGAAAGAACAGTCCGCAAGAACGTGTGGGTTTGTGAAAGAGAGGAAACAATCCGGCGTCCCAGATAGCTTGGCATTGGTTTCAATTCTTCCCCAAGCCTCACTGGTCAACGTCGTTCCATTTCTGGAGAACAGGTCAGCAGGTATTTGAACGATCTTGAAGCTTGCATACTTGTTGACAATGGCCTTGAGCTCTTCGACCATATCAAAATAGATTTCGTTGCTATTATAGCGCATCCCGGCCTTTCTCCACGGAATCGGGGAGGAAAACGGACCGCCGACCGCACCAGAATTGAACGAAGTGTTGATGTTTGCGCCTGCGACGCTCAAGAGCTTCGAAAACAGCGACGGAGGGAGGACGATGTCTCGCAGAGCGTTGGGAGACGTTGTCGATGGGTGGCCCCCAGAGTCCAACGTCTCTTCCAGTAACTAGTGCGGATAAGGCGTCATTCAACAGACACATGACAACCGACGCACTTGATACACGACATCAAAGTTGTCCTTTAGAGTCGCGGCGGAAAGCGCGCCGAAGTACTCGCGCAGGATGTCGATGAAGGTTTGAAGGAAAGCAAAGGCAAAGAGAGGGTCCACTGCGTCGCTTGAGAATAGTCCCATGACGCGAATATGCTCCAGACGCACCCTCCCCACTGACGGGACACAAGATCCTCATGTCCCCGATCTCGACATGACAGCATGCGCTGGGCGGATCGCCTACGTTCATCGGCGGCACATAGATCACGGGCTCAATGTCTCCGGCGCGGTGCGTCTTGGACGCGGCGGTGTTGAAGGCGTCGGTGTGCAGCAGCGGAAACGCAGGAGGTGTGGAGCGGAACCCGGACTGGATGATGGGTCGGCTTGGGGTCGTCAAGTAGATTCACACGTGGGCAGATAAAGCGTACCCAGTGCTGTCGAGAATGATCAGTCCGTCGATGGCCATGGCGGCGAGAGGAAGGGGAGAGCGGAAAGCTACTGCGTCATGATGCACTGATGCGCAATCAACCGGCGTCAATAGAGGTCGCTTTCTGCTAACAAGTCGTACATATATCATACGCGAAAGACAGCAATTTCATTCACATTCCGAGCAATTTCTTGTATACATACCAGAACAAATGAATAAAAAGTACATTAAAGTGGGTATCATATTATACCTCGATCTACAGCGCGGTAGCTTCTCGACAACACCGCATCCTGTTCTCTCAAACTGCGCGCGACATCGCTGGAATCGGGCACGAAATTAGCGAGGAAACCAAATCCACTAGAGGAAGACGTTATTCTCGACGAGCCGGAATCTTCCGCGGTACGGTTCGTAGAAGAGCGCGAGGAACGTCGAGTGTTTGATCGTGAGATGGTCACCGGTGCAGTCGGTTCTGCTGGAGGAGGCATGTCCGCGCTGTCCTTTCCACCGCCCAAACCACTACGGAAGCTTTGAACTCGTTTGCTCAATGCCTGGAGCACAGAACCGCCCTCGAGCCAAGCCGCCTCCCGAGTAGAGGACTCGTTGTCAGCCGCAGCTTGTGACACGAATGTGGAATGTATCGAGGAATCGGACAGTCCTCGTCTCCGCAATGTCCGGTGCAACAGCGGACCCAGATAGTCCGGCTCCTCGTCAGCAGCGGCATCGTCTGAGTTGTCATGATCGCCCTCTCGATGTGCTGGGGTGCCCACACCGTCCAATACCGCATCGACATTGCGCGACATCCTGTTGGGGTGATGGCGCGATCCCGGTGGACCGGGACGTAGCAGAGCAGACGGTTTCCGAGACAGCTTGGGGTGACCAACGACGATCCAGGGATCAGGCGTCTTTGATCGTGGAGCGCCGGCAAAGATGTCCATAACGCCTGGTGCCGGAGAAGTCATCCTACCGGCGCGTGATGGAATGGAAGATGCATCGAAAGTGCTGCTTGCCACGGATCGAGCACCGGAAACCTCAACGTTGACAGTGGTCGCTGAGGCAGCCAGTGCAGGACCTTTGGGGACAAACTTTCCAATCATCGGCCTCGGCGCGGCCAGTGGTGAGATCGCTCCGTTCCTGTCCACATCCTGTTTGGGCGTGACCCCGGAAAGAAACTTGGTGAACCAAGTGGCGGGTCCTGACGGATGTTCGTCGCGGGCTTTGCCGGGGTCCATCGCAGCCTCACTGATCCGACTCGCACTGGCAGGATCGAGCACCACTTCGTTGAGCAGGACCCGGAGCTCGCCCAAGGTGGTAAACATCTCCCGAGTCACAGCCATAAACGAGCGGACATCGCGACGCCCAGCACGCATGTCCTCGTCCTGCAGACCGCCAGCCCGAAGCTGCTTGTGCACATCGGTCATGATGCTCGCCACAGTCGTGCGCGACAGATGGCCAACATCAGCACCCCGGATCTGCTGTCGCTTCAGTCTGTTTGTAAGAGACAATGCGTCAGCAGTCTGCATCCTTTGTAACAAACCAGCTGTCCGCTCAACCAAGACTGCTAGAGTCACTGAGGGAGCTGAGATATTGCCCGTCGTAGTGTTCGCTGATGACGGAGCGAGCGACTCTGAATACACTGATGCACCGGAAGATGGCGAATGTGATGGGGGATGGACCAGTCCTAGTGGAGCGACTGGATCTGTCTGTACACCACGTGACCTTGCAAGGAGGAACAGCGGTCGGTGGGATGATCGGCGTTCCAGCGTCGAGTCTGTGTCCTGCACGTCTTCGAAACTGGCATGCGATGGAGAAATCGGATATCGTCCGCCCAAATGTGGCCATCTGGATTCCGAATTCGCAAGTGAATCGGTGGGCGAAAGTGGGCGCCGATTCGTTTCCGGGGTCATGGGTTCCTAACGCACCGTCAACAGTGAACGGAAGGAGGAGAAGAACCCAAACACGAACATAGCGCCGCGAAGTGCGCCTCTCGGCGCTGGAGCTGCGCTTGAAGACATGCCCCTGATACAGTCAGACAGGAAGCAGGTGGAGTGATACTTGCACTCACCGGTGGGAGCATTACAGAAGGGACGCTGCCAGTATGGAAATGCGTCCTCAAAAACGACGGTGTGGCTGCACCACTTCTGGGTGGCGGATTGACCCGTTGATCCTCTAGTTCTTCCTGCAAAGCTCGACAATCCTCGCGCGCGTCCGCCAGCAAAGTCTGCAGTTCGGCATTGTCCCGCTTAAGAGTGTCGCTGTCGTTCACAAGTGTCTCTAACACCTCAGCCAACTCAGGCTGCTCTACAGGCGCACCAACGGAGCGATGCAACGCTTGCAATCTTGCACGAGCGTCCATAATGATCGTCTCCGACGATTCCAGCCGATGTTCACGGCGTTCCTCCAGCGCCGTTTGCAATCGTCGTACTTCGCTCTGAAGCTTGGCTATGATGGAATGAATCAACTGAGCGAAAGCTTGTCGAGCGATAACGCACATGTGCGCTCCTTGAGAGCAGCGAAACGGGATTCTGCCAGTCTCGCCCGCTGTGATTCGCTGTCTCGTTCCTGCTGCATATCCTCCTTTTCCTTCAGCGCAGCGGAGAGTCGGGTGTCCCATCCCACAGAACGCGCAGCCGACGTAGTCAGGCGCGATATCGTCGTTTTGGCTTCGGCGAGCTCCTGGAGGATCGTTTTATTCGATACTTCTGTAACCTCATTATTGACTAGGGCCCGGGTGAGACGCTGAATCGTTCAATCAGGATCCAAAGGGCACTGCATAAGAGAGAGAGGAGACATACCTTTTCCAGTGCCTGATTGTCTTTGACAAGCTGGTCCAAATGGTCCTGGGCTGCAGTAGCCACTTTCTCGCGTTTCTCGAGATCATCCTCCGACGCTTCTTGCGCTTCGAACTGCTCGCCTTGAACCCGTCGCACATAGGCTTCATGTCGCTGCAGCAAAGCCTGACCGACCTCTGACGAACGATGAGGTCGAGGCAACGAAAGGTGGATCCGGAAGTAAATAAACGCACCAGCGCTCAACGTCAGCCGACTCTGCAACCTCGACTTTGTCGCCGTCCAAGCCCGCAGGTTCTCGCAGTCATCCTGTCCACAGCAGCAGCAAAACAGCTCCGGAGGTTCCGGCGAGGCGACCCGCGAGACGTTCTCCAGTGCTTGTGTGAGGTCGTCGATCGTAGACGTAGCGTCGTATAGACTGTCCCGGGTCGTCTGCGGTGAGCCGGGGGTTCGAGGCCGGAGGTGACGAGATGCAGGCGGCGTTCCGTAGTCCATGTCGTCGGAGTCGGGTTCGAGAGCAGACATTGGAATGCGATGTCTCGGGTGGGACGGCCTCGCTTAGGCGGTGTGCATGCAAGTCGTGTATGGATGAAGGTGCGATGTATGACTATGACGTGCGTGGTCCAGAGACTGCGGAGGGTGCGACACAGATACATATGAGCAAGTTCAAAGCTGCGTCGATCGACCCATACCGTTCAGGCACAGGGAATCCCAAATATGCAGCTCTGGATCACTCCGGTGCCCACGCGCTGAGATTGTTCCGATTCCGGACAGCTGGAGCCACGAAGAAAGCAACCGCAGTGGGATGGACGATGGTGGGCGAGGCAGAAAGTTTAAAAGTTTTAGCGGCACCTGGAGAGGAGACTAACTGAACTAGAATGTTATCAGCGTGCCATTTGAGCGACCCGCGGCCACATGACTCGAACATCAAACTCGGACTTTTTTCTTTGCGGCTGCCCCCATCAACAGTCTTCATTTCTCCATGGCCCGGCCCCCACATCTTCTCACTCTCGCGGACCTGACCGCTCCGCAAATCCAACGTCTCATCAAGCACTCTGCGTCGTTGAAGGCCAACTCCCTTGCATGGCTTCGCCCGCAGGGCTCCTTGTCCTACAAGCAGGCTAACGACCTGCGCATGCCATCTCAATCGCTATTCAGCAAAACCGTAGCCATGTTGTTCTCCAAACGGAGTACCCGTACTCGTGTCGCGGCTGAAACGAGCGCGTTCATGCTTGGGGGTCGTGCGCTGTTTCTAAGCCGCGACGACATCCAACTCGGTGTGAACGAGAGTGTGCGTGACTCGGCGCGTGTTATTGGGGGGATGTGCCAGGGCATATTCGCTCGCGTCGGTGACCATTCAGAGATCGAGGTGTGTTTGTTTGCCCGCCGACAGCTGACAGCTGAACCTGAACCGTCCTACAGGAATTGGCTGCCCACTCTCCCGTTCCTGTCGTGAACGCGCTCTCATCCCTCTGGCATCCGACACAAATTCTCGCCGACCTTCTCACTCTACATGAACACGCTTACCTGTTCAAGCCGGATTCGCAGGAGGACGCCACCACACCGCGGGGCAACGGCAAGCACCTTCGTCGTGGCACAGACCTTTCCGAGCTCCCACCACTCACGATCGCCTACGTGGGCGACTCTGCGAATGTGTTGCACGACATGCTCGTGACGTTCCCCCGACTGGGCCACAAAATGCGCGTTGCGACCCCTGCTGACCCGAAATATCGTGCCCCTGCTGCGGTGTGGGACCGGGTGCGTGAGCTCGGGTGCGACGAGCACATCTGGTGGGGAGAGGACCCCAAGGAAGCCGTCCGTGGTGCCGATGTGGTCATCACAGACACATGGATTTCAATGGGACAGGAGGCCGAGGCCGAGCAGAGGTACAAAGACTTTGCTGGATACCAGGTGACGGAGGAGCTTTGCCGAGAAGGAGGCGCCAATCCCAACTGGAAATTCATGCATTGCTTACCCCGGAAAAAGAATGAGGTCGACGATGAGGTGTTCTATGGCCCTCGTTCGCTCGTGTTCCCTGAAGCGGATAACCGCAAGTGGACGATCATGGCGGTCTTCGAGTGCGTGCTCTCTCATCTGCGCCGTATTCAGCTGACCACTCTACAGTCTTGCTATCGGCAAGTGGGATCTAGATGGCGAGGGAACTCACAAATATAAAAAGCCGGAACAACCGCAGTGAGGCAGAGCTACGATAATACCTACCAGCTCCTCACATCCAAGCTATCAGTAGCTTACATAGTGAATGCGAGATTGATAAACTCAACTATGACCGCCATTTGACTTCTATAGATCATCTGGCTCGCAGTATGTGCGCCGTTGTTCTCGACTATATTTGCACGGACAACCTGGAACACCGTGCTGCATCTGAATAAGTAATGCACTGATCAGTCTGAAGCAAGCTTCGCGACAGTCTTTCACTCAGCACACTGCAACGCACACCACTAGAATCTATCTCAGACCGACCAGTATCCTCAGAAAGCCCCTATCTGTGTTCATCGAGCCCAGTTAAGGTCTCAGATCCACGTGATGAGGCTGTGCCAATCTATGACGTAACTAGATCGTGAAAGACCCCTAACTTACGTTCTGTCTTAATTTGTTTCCACGGACCAAAGAGCGGGTTGATCTCGCCTTCCCGGTCTTGCCAAAAATTTCCATTTTGTCTTCAAACGATTGACGACAGGCTGACTGGAAACTTGGAATCTCAACAGGAAGACACGCGGATTATTCATGCTTGTAAGCGTCCATCAAAGCCACTGTCTACATCGCACACCGGCGGCATCTCAGCGAGTGAAAAACCTCATGTTATGACTGAAACATCCCGCTCTCTCTCCGACTCGCGCAAGACCGGGGATCTCGGTACCGTCCTAATGTAAACCAGTAATGCAAGTCCAATCAGCCCCTATCTGTTTAAGAAGAAGATAAAATCCAATAGGGACATCATATCGCTTTCCCAGCTTTGCCGATGATGTGCATTACTCTCGATGGGAACAAGGTGCTATCCCAACGAAAGTGAGTGCATGTGATGTTCTCGAATCCAATCGAAGATGGACTAAGGGATTTTTGGACTGCACGGTCCGAGACATGTCTCACTGCACTGCCGCTTCACTTCTGAATCAGGGTCCCATCCGTAGTGCATATAAGGACACCCCGTCCTCGACTCCCATCCAAAACACCCTTTGCCACAACCACCATGTACACACGCACCACGTTTTCTATTATCCCTGGCTACGTCGCCTCGGGTTCTGCTCCCACGCGCGTCCCATCCCACCGCCGCCGAGCGCCGAGTTCCGTCAAGTCTATTATGAAGACTCGGCCCCGACGGGACTCGGTCGCATCCGATATTTCGGACACATCCACTCTCTGCGGTGGCGGTGACGAGGAGGACGAGGACGAGGAGAACCTCAAAGGTGCCATCAGTTTCTGCCAAGATGTCGTTGTATGCAGTGAGTCCAACATCCCTCTCCCTTTGCCTCCGCCCCGAAGCTTACGATCAAACTCAGCCATCGACGCAAGGGCACCCCACCCGAGCCGATGGACTCTGCTGCTCGACACAGTCAGCTTGCAGCGCCGCAAGTTCCCGCTCTTGCACAAGGGCCCAAGGGAGACGCTGCGGCTGAAAAAGTCCGTTGTTGCCGAGACCGAGATGTCTCAGTAGGCGGACGACAAGCGTCCAGTCGATGAGGTGGTGAGTGTCCCTTATGTTGCAATCTCTGACGGCCCCTGATGAAATCCCTCCAGCAATCACACATCGTCGCTGGATTGGAATTTTTTGCCCTCGTTGGCGTTGTAATACCAAAAGGAGTCGACCGATGTCGTGCCATGCCTCCGATGTACATGTACTATCACCCATGTCTCGCTGTCCTAGTTACCTTTGAAATCTGAGTCTCAAAATGTCTGTCCTATGTCACGGTGACATGTCCAAGTGGAAGCCCAGTGAACTCTGAGAAATGATAAATACAATGCACAGTGTAGAACAGCTCAGATGATGTCAAGCCTCGTCGTCAGGTTCGTGGACCACAATGTCCATGACCGATCTAGCAATGTCAGGCTCATGGGGCACCGAAACACAAAGAAAAGTGCACACCTGAGGTTAAGCGAGTAGCCAGAAACTACGTCGGTCAGAGTGAGAGTATCAATCGGATGCACGCCGGGGGTCACTGCGAGGAACTCCATCCTCACTGACTGGCAGGCTGCCGGCAGAAGCGGGCTGTGCGATAATCCTTGAGTGGATGATAAAAAAACGTGAAAGAGACGCACCCAATGCGAACCCTGTTGTCCAACGGCACAATGCCCGGCGACGGCACCTTCTCTCCCGGATTTCTCGCCCGCCCTCGCCGTCTATCCGGACACGTGACCTCGAAACGGCGTGTCCACTCGCTCTGGTTGAACACAAAGATATCGAGCGTGAAGTGATCGAGTGGGTAAATCTTGTTGATCTCGTCCCGCACGACGCTCCCCGCCGTCTTCCCCAGGTCGGCGTTCTTGTCTGCATCGGTCTGCGAGCCCGAAGCCAGCAAGCCGACCGACACAACGATCGCCTCGCCGTTCCTAGCCGCATCCTGGTCAACTCCAAACTCCGGGCCCTCGTCGATGGCGGTGCCAGACACACTCGCGTTGAGTCCGGCGAAGCCACCGCCACCGACGGCAAGCACCGGGCCGGGCGTGACCGGAATCGGCAGCGTGCCTGTTCCAACCGGCGCCCCCCTCTCGCGGCGGATCTCGACACTCCGGCCCAAGGGCCCGCTGCCGATGCCCTGCGTGTTGGACTGTGCAGCGACGCCCGGCGGTGTCGGCGGCACGGCCGACCATGTCGGGTACGAGGGGTACGCCGGCGTCATGGGAACCGATGGCTGATAGTTTGGGTCCACCGAGAGACGGGGCTGGTCGGCGCTGAACGTCGTCGGTGAGCGCGGCATGCTGGCCGACAGCGTGACCGACGGTGGGGTATACGAATTCGATCGCGGCGGCGGAATCGGCGGCGACCCGATCCGGCTGTTGGATGGGTTGAGCATCGACGTCGACGCCCGGTACCCAACCCCTGTGCCAGGTTTCATGCCGATGGCACGTGCAGCAACAAGCGCCTGGCCCCCGGGAAGCGTGTGTCGTTTGGTGGGGCCGGGCGACGAGGAATCTTTGAGCATATTGATCAGACTATCTGAGCGGTTTCGCGGATTCGTCGGGAAGGGAGACGCCGGCTCTGGCATCACGCTGGGAATCTGCAACTGGACATCCCCATCGCGGAACTCGTCTTCTGGCTCCGGGTGTGGCTGCGCAGAGAGGTCGAGGATACAGTTCCACTTGGAGCAAAATATCTGAGTAGGATACGGCATGTCTTGCGAAAGGTACGGCCGGCCGAATATCCCAATGGTCACAGACCTTTGCAGCATCTGCTGGGCCGCACCATCTTTGACCAAGCCCATCGCAAGCGCCTCGTCCGGGGATCGGAGGAACGAGACAGCGTACAGCAGGTTGTACTGCTCACTCGATGCCACTCGCAGCGGGAACACCGACGACTGCCCATCCGCCCCAGACCACCCAATCAACACCGCCTTTGCATCACCGTCGTCCGACCCGCCCACCTTCACTTCCACTCGGTCCACCTCAAAGCCCACAGTTCGCCCGGAGCCGCTCGAGTTCTCCAGCTCAACACACAGCATCACCGTCCGCTCATCCGTTCCCGCTTCCAGCCGGTCCGGATCCTCCGGGTCCGAGCTGTCGTCCATGATGTCCGCAAACAACACAGCCGGCACGAACACAGTCCGCATGCGCACCCGGAATCCAGACACCGTGGGCAGCGTTTTGCGGAAGCTCTTGCGCATCGTCGCGGGCGCCGAGATGGATATCGACTGCGACCGCCCGGTGGCCGTCATCGGGGAAGGCGATGCCGCAGGTAGCGGGGTACCTGGCGAGAGAGGCTGTAGGGTGAACAATTTGAGTCGCGAGACGGACCCCAGCCGAGCACTCGGGAGGTCTAGTTCGGAAGGAGGGAATGTGGGTCCACCCGACAATCCTTCAAAGAGGTTCACCTCCGGAAGCCCGGAGAGTATGGGATCGATACTGTCGTTTCCTCCGGGCGTAGGTACCCCGTTTGGGGTGGACGGACTTGATGGAGCCGTGTTGGATGTCAAGGACTCGAGGGAAGAAAGGAAGGCAGATAATGGATGGTTGGGGCGGTTGAGCGTCTGCGGACGGTCACGCAACGTCGAAGAGACCGTCAGGCATAGCAGCGGGTCGCTGACAGCCAGCCTTAAAAACGCTATCCAGCAGTTTAAACCACGCGTATAACCGAAGAGCCTACTCACAGACAGTCAGACCAAGTCGGTACACCGCAACCCAGTTGTCCTCCTCGTCGGACCACAGCAACGAGAACGCCTCCTTCGAGTTCTCTGCCGTGTTCTGGCCCCAGATCCCCGCTAGCAACAGGGTGCCTTCCGACTGCAGATAGCGTTTATCGCTCTCCGCCGACAGCGGCGTCGGGTTGGGTGTGCTGGGCGGAAATATCGAAGGATGGTTCGCCCGCTTCGGCCCTAGAGATGCCGTGCGCGGGGGCGCAGCCAGGCGCGCGGTGCGAAGGGGATCCTCTTGGGGCGAGTGCACAGGGACGGATGAGATGTAAGTCGCTTCGAGCGAGATCTGAAGGTGGGAGATGAATGTGACGAGCTCCTTGGGCGGATTCGCAGGGTCCTTAGAGGTCGAGGACGGGGGCTGGTCGATTCGGAGAATGAGAAGCGGTTGTAGTTGCTCGTCTAACGTCGTTTAAGATATACGAGGATAAGTCCAAGGCAGGGGCAATCCCACCGAAGTACGCTTGCGACCGCTCAGCCTTCCCACTCCTCAAGCGCGCCAGCCATCCATCCGCGGCAACCGGCGGCGGATATTCGAGAGACGTGTCTGGAACGACCACCTCCAGCTCAGACGACGCAAAGAGTTGTTGCAGGGCCGACATGTCGTTTGTTCTTGAGTTTGAACTTTAAGCTTTCAGGCGCAGACTGAAAGGCCACGCTTGGATCGCCCGGAGCAATGCCAACGCGTCACAATCTAGAGACCGCCGCAGCTGATCGTACGGGTGATTCCCCTTCTAGAGTCCGCGACAGTTAGAGAGTGAGGGAGGCGAATTCCAGATGCCTCTATCTCTATTTGACCCGAGGAGAGAGAAATAGAAAATTAGGCGTTGAGAGACCGGAGAGTCGATCACGTGTAAATCTTCCGTCTTGGATCACTCATGAAGATAAACCCAGTAATGAGCACATATGCGTAGCAGATCGCGCAGGTGGTGCAAGGGGAAGTCCTCATCCCAGTCGGCCGAAACCATTGATAGACGTTAGTTCGATTCTACCGACAAATATTCGTGACAGGGTGCGATCATCCTGGCATACTTTCCGCGTATCATTATTTTATAGCTACAGTACATACTATAGCGGAATCATGGCTAGGTAGAGTCGAAGTCTGCAGCAAGCCTGTGCTTGCATGCCCAGCGTGTAAGCCCGTGACAAGAAGAAAGGAAGATACTGAACAAAGACAAAGCTGTTACAAGAAATTATGGATGAATGGACAGTGGACAGTTCGCGATGGTGTTGGCGACGAGCGGAAGACAAGGGGAAGAATGCAAAATTCTGGAGGATTCAGAGTAGGGACGACCAGGCAACGCAAGACTTACATTACACTATGATGATCCAGACTGCGGCCAAATATCGGTGACCGTTCTCCTCCTCTCCCGCTTCTGAGGTCCGCTTGTCGACCGGTCTTCGCCACCATCAAGAGACATTCTCGGCCGGATGGATCGGTAACGACTCTCTCGCTCGCTCGCAGCCAACGCAGCCTTGATCGCTTCGTCCTGGCCATCTGAATTGGACAGCGTGCGCTCACGCTCGCGGTCATGCTGCATTTGTAGACCAGCAAGTGCAACGGTCGATGGGCGTGAGAACGTGACTGTGTTGCCTCTGGAGCGGGTTGATCGATCAGAATCGTTCCGGACTAGTGAGGGAAAGGCCGTGGGACTATTCGAAACGGTGTGCGGGGTCAATGCAGTAGTCGGTGTCGTCATTGAGGGGAGTAGACCAGAACCCCCAGCCCGCACGGTGGAACTGGTGATCGTACGCCGGCGTTGTGCCGAAGACGCAGTAGGCTTATCGACAGTTGTCTGTGGTCTCCGGAGGGTGGGAGATTCAGATGGCAGATTAGGCAATGGCTTGGGGATCGCAATGGGAGGAAGAGGCGCTGTGCGATTGACGTCATTCTGCTTGCGTGATGCTGGGGTCGGTGAGGGTTCGTAATCAACCTGTTGCACTGTTGTTTGCGAGTCAGAGGGTACCAACCCGTTTGCTTTCAGCTCCCGCTGCTCGCGAGGGGTTAGCAACCGTCGGGAACTCGGGGTCGGGTTGCGAGCTGGCGGGGCCATCGCAGATCCATGTATCGGCCGCATCGCTAGAGAGCTTTCTCGACCTTCCTTCGCGTCCCAGCTTCGTCTCGATTGGGAACTTCGTCTTCCAGCGTCCGGACTGGCACTGCCGTGACTTGAGCCGCCCCTACCTTCGTCTGAGGCACGATTTTCACCAAACTCGCGAACAACCCGTCCGACACCCAGCAAGAATCCAGTCACGGCTCGCACAAGCTCGTCGCTGATACGTAATCCGTCCCGATACTCGCCTCCGACTCGCCGCCAAACCTCTGCGAGTTCAGCAGTCTCGGCGTCGCTGACCTCGGCATCGATCTGCGCTTCCAGGGCTCTGGCAGTACCCGCTCGTAGAATCCCATTCAGTCGTTCAGCAGCACTGACCACTATCTGGGCACTCCTTGCGAGATCGGTCGCCGAACTACCAGCTGCTACACGCGACAAATGACCCTCGAACATAGCCAGACTGTCGCTCATCAATCTTGCATGCTCGGGATTGCCAGCGCTGCCGCTACCCGATCCACCATGTCGTCGGATGCTTCCGTATGGACTCGGACTCGGTGCTGTTCTTTGCCGGTCGCGTTCTTGTTGTTCTCGCTCGACCGAAATGTCCCGATGTCGATCCAGAGCACTCCCTGACCGGCCAGGGCCGTCGGAAGAATATGCACTGTTACGATATGTTCGCAGGGCGGATTCCTCTCGCCGCAGCGTATCGTAATCCGCCATGGATGTTGCAGCACGAACATGGGACCCGCTCCTTCTGGGCGCTTCGGCTCTCGCTGGTGTCATTCTGTCCCGCTCAGAGAACACATCTCCTCGTCCAGCTAGTCCAGCTGCCCTCAATCCCTCGCCAACCAGCCGGCCTGCACCCCCGAGTGCACTCTCCGCACTGCCCGATCTAAGACTTTGTCTTCGCTCTCGACCCTCCCCATTAGCAGTCACAGGACTCGAGCCCATGTCCTCGCTCAGCCATCGTGTCTGATGCTTCCTCGTCAGGTCACGCACAGTCGACGGTCGTCCGTTCGGATTCGTTCCGATGGTTGATGTTGAAGACGTCGAGCTGCTATGTGCATGTCGAGTGGAGGGAATCGATTCAGCCAGAGAATGACGTTTGCTCGGCGATCGGTCAGGTTGTGGGGGTGACAAGGGCGGTTCCGCAGAAAACTAGTCGGCAGCATCAGCATCTAGTCTGAACCGCAAAACGACTACTTACTCGTCCGTTGCCCCATTCTCGTGGAAGAGGTTGCCTCCGTTTGCCAGCCCCCAGCGTTGGACTGATCCGGGTTCCGGTGTAACGTGCAGTGCCACCAGGGCTACGACGCGCGCTGGCGACAGCAGCCAGTGCGGCTCGGGTCGTATCCTCCGGTGAGCTGGGGCCACCGGAATCGTCATCGACAACGGGCGCTCTGCTACTAAAAGATAAATTCGAGGCTCGGGTAGTGCGTCGCGGCGAGCGCGTGTTAGAAGCAGAGGATGAGGATGCTGCCATCTGCTTGCTAGGCGAGACGGGAGCAGATATCAGTCGTTGTCGCTGCACAAGAGGCGTAGTGGGCCGGTGAGGCGAGTTTGTCGGAAGGTCGTCGCGTTCGGTTTCCGACCCAGATTGGTGGGGATCCTGGGTGCGAGAGCGCCGAATAGGAGGTCTGTTAGATGAAGAATGGGACGAGGAAGAGTGCGACGAGGATGATGCGTAATGAGATCCAGAGCCTGATCCGGACCCAGATGTAGAGGATGACGCATGTAAGGAGGGTGGCAAAGGTGATCGTGTGGAATTCGCAGATCGTGCAGTGGGGGATGGGGTGCTAAGTCGGGAGAACGAAGAGAGTTTGTCAAGTGCCTGAGTCACGAGTTAAAAGGTTCACAGAGAGACAAAGCACATCGTGACGGCAGCATATATCGAGAGGATGCGATAAGAGGAGCCGGAAGGAAATCAGAGCGAAATCGTAGACCGGTGGCAGGAGCAGCGATGGCGAACAGGAGGAAGGACAAAGCCGACCGAGACACACGTCATGAACAAAAGAAATGATCGCGAGCGTTCAAAGGTCAGAGTTGGAGAGTGATCGGAGACACAATGAAAGGAAATGAGACGGCGGGGTGAGGAAAGGGGGATGGGCCGCCGAAGTAAGAATCGAGATGAAAAGAAAAATAGAAGGAAGAGTCGTTAGAGTGAGGACCTTGCCATGAGCGTAACAACTACGCACTATTTTATTTCGCTGGGTCAAGCTTTTCACCCGCTGTAGCGCCAAGACGTTCTCGCTAGCACTATGTCGGCGTTTGTCCAAGCGTGCCGTGTTGTCCTCCCCATCATCGTCGATGTCGTTGTCGATGTCATCTGGCTCCTCGTAGTGTAGCCTATGAGGGGCCTGGTCGTTGTGGTTGTGTTGGAATGCAGCGTGGAAGGCCTTGAGATTCGAGCCATTGAGCATATTCGAAGATAATGACGGCGACGAGCCAGCCCGAATGGCGATGCTCCCTGGATCGCCAGTGCTACCACTCCCCGTCGAGTTGGTCGCAGGTGGTGAGGGAAGTCCGGAAAGGCTGCTGGTGCTCGAGCTCGGGCTGGGAGGTTCCGGAAGATCTGGGATATCCGGCGGTGTTGAGACAGCGAGATTTGGGCTGTTGCCAATGTAGATTTGAGAAGGCGGACGGGGTCTGTGGGCCAAAGGGGGCCGGCGAGTGGTCATCTAGACTGTGAGCCGCCACACAGCGCATCCGAGAACGAGTGTAGGGAGAAAAAGAAGGGCTACCACATAAACGCCCTGGCAGCACGTTGTTGAGGAGTTTCTCACGACCAAACTGGTGACAACTACCACCAGCGGTCCCAATTAGGCAAGCGCGGATATTACGTTGACTGGGAGACCAGGTCATGTTTCCAAGGGATTGGTAAAATAAAAACCCATCATCAATGTTGTCCACTGTAAGGCACCAGGCACTATGATCTACTCACCTCACAGTACAAGATTGGGATTCTGCTGCGAAATCGAGGTACTTGTGAGACCGGTGTCTTCAGGCCTCATCACCTCGTCATTAATATGGTTCAAACGCGTTTATTATCGTTTACCGCTGGCCACAGCTTTGGGGATCGTGAGCACTCTTTTGTGGTCAATTGTCAATTACATGGAGCAACCATGATCATCTTCCTCGCTTCCCTTGAGTATAAACGCGTTCTGCCATCCTCAGATGAAACAAAAGGCAGGAATACGTACAGAAGAATCTTACCGCCCCAATTTCAAGTTATGCGCTGGGACAAGTTTTAGAGTCTCATATGAAGGGACAATTCGGCAAGTCCCGGCGTGGACCACAATGACAGATATATTCCCACATATGCTTTGCCCGCGCTTGAGTTGAATACCACGTCCATGTCTGATTTAGCTCGCACGGCGTCCCCATTATCTTCCTCTCCGGGCCGCAGCGACGCGAATTCATTTGACAAGCCTGCCTGGCCGTGGCAGTCTCGGTAAGCTTCGAACTGTCCGCATGCCGGCCCCCCTTACTTAACAGCTGCTTCATCCCAGCTACTCGCGCCGACAGTCGAGTTCGCTGTCAGCAGTTTCCTCAAGCTCTAATCTTCAAACGCCGTGGGAGGGCCGACCGGGCTCGAGCCAATCAGGGACGTCTTATTCGGGCGGGGGCTCGTGGCAATCACAATCCACCATGAGGCAGAGTCAGCAACGTGACATCGGTTCTGCGGTAGGATTTGGGACAGTACAGGATGAATCTACTCGACAGTGGACTTTCTTGGTTTGTAGTTTGGTCGAGTGTTTGTCGCGCGTCTTTGACGCAGTGCTCAGGGTTTCGAATGGGTTGTCCGAGACGTTCACAAGGTGCGCCCAGTCCCTTGTTTATTGCCGAGACTTACAGTACGTCAACCAGCTCCGGGAATTTCTGGAAGGCGTAGAGCCTGAGGTGGTCGAAGATGACGCTAGTTCCAGTGTTGGCCCGGACAGTTTTGATATCCTCAAGAATGCGCCTTTGATCGGAGAGAGCGAGTTCAAATTGGAAATCTGTATGTTGAATTTTAGCACTCTGACCTCTGTACTGACCCTTCAATCGAGCTCACATTCAACCTGCTGAGCATGAGAACAAGCATTCATCTCTGTCGTTGTATATCACTTCCCTGAGAGACTTTGCGCACAACTACGAGATGAACGCCAGCATCATGGTGGCCATCAAGTCACAGGACGATCGAGTCGGTGCGCGTGTCGAATGGGTCTGGGACTTTTGGCAGCATGAATGGATATTCCGACGTGAATCAGAAGTTTGGGGTGAGGACCAATTCAGATGCACAAATGCATACTGGGACTCATCCTCGTTTTCAGACTGCATTCTTCCGCCATTGTCAGCCCTTCTCGAGAATGACAGGATTCAGAGAACGGATGCCTTCACGATATGCGTTCAAATACACTCTCCGATCGGATCTTTCTTTCCCTCACAGCCGACCGCATACTACGTGCCACGAGATCTTCTCGACGGCATCGAGTCATCTTTGGATAACGCCAGTTCGTCTCCCTCTCTTTTTGACCAGACAGGCCGCTCACCTCGCGGACAGACACGGGGGATGTTCGCTTTGTATGTCTGGAACGAATGGCCCTCGATTCCGACATTCCTTCGACACCGATCTCAGAGAATCGCACGCCTCCTTCAAATCCTCGTCCCTCATCCTCTCAATCCCTGTTCTCACCTCAGACGACTGCGCGCAAGCGCATCATATATGCTCATTCAGGTGCGCACTGCTCTAGCGCCACGGTCTCTGTTGACAATCAGACAGATATTCTGAGCCGGCGTTCAGAATACTTTGGAACTATGTTGGCGTCTTCATTTGCAGAAACAAAAGGCATCACTGGTGATAGGAAGCTGTACACTATCGTCGTAGAAGAGGCTGACTTTGAAACGGTGCGCTCATGTTGGAACGCCCATACTATTTGCTCAACGGCCCTTAGATGTATTGGCTGCTCAAGTATTGCTACGCCAATTGGCTCTCGTTCAAGGAACACGATGATCCTAGACTGGCTGTAGAAGGCATCGGAGCAGGATGGAGTGCCAAGTGGCTCAGTTCTCGTGGAGGGGACTGGGACTGGAAGACCTTCCGTAAGGTGTCGGGCGACGGCGAGAGCACTGTTGGAGATGCCAGAAGCGCTACGAGCGCGGATGATGTCATTCAAGAACCCATTTCCCCGTCTCATGGAAAAGGCAAAGCTGCCCTAGTCCCGGAGCCTGCATCCACGTCCCGCTCATCAACTCAGGCCCCGAAAAGCGCACCAAAAGTGATTTCTAATTCTGCTAGCTCTTCTCGCCAGAACCCTTCAAGTTCTTCCCGACGGATAACTCAGCCGCCAGGCCCAAACATGGGTCTCACTTCCTCAGGCGGTATCACACGATCAAAACCGATAGCCGTGGCAACCGGAAGTCCTGGTGGATTTCCTGCTGCTGGGCATTATCCAATATCTCCACGGAACGTGCGGTCTCATCAGTCTCTGAGCGTCACAACCGGGGATCCACATGCGCACCCAACTGCTGCACCGCCTTCTGCCTCGGCACTCTCTGTGTACCAGCTTGCTCATCGATACGAGATGCCTGCGTTGGGTGCTTTAGCTCTCGATCACATGATGTCTACCATTACCCCTTCGTCGTCCTTTGGCCTTCTATTAGCCACCTCAGTCTGGGACGAGTTGCATTCTCTTGTTCAAGATTACGTCGTGGATAAGTGGGAAGAAGTTTCTTTGTCTGAGGAGTTCGAGCAGTGTTGTCGTGAGATATCTGCTGGAGAGTGCGTCCTGGCCTCTTCCCTTGCCTGCAATCTGCTGACTGGAATACTTAGATGGGGACCAGAGGGTGGGAAGACTCTTATGGCCTTATTCAGGCGCTTGCGCTCGCCTTCCGCACTGGCTTATGCTCGTACATAGACCGTGATCCGGTTGTATTTCTAGACATGAACTATCTGCGCTTTTCGCTTGGAAGAAGTCCAGAGTAATAGGCCAACAAGTTGAGCCGACACTCGAGTCGAAGCGTGGCGCGATCAGCCTGTTGACGTATCTATCATTCACACTTGGCGTCAACCAACCGACACATGGGCTGCTTATCTACCTTTCTCTCGCGCAACCATGATCTCACTCCGAGCTAGCGTGTTCATTCGCCTGCAAGGGAGTGCCCGCCGATTCGCCTCCGAAGCGCCTGCGTTCCGCATTCCATTGATCGATTTCTCGAAATTCCGGGCAGGATCGCCCTCGGAGAAGAAGGCCGCTGCGAACCAGATCGTCTCTGGGTTTAAGGAGAGCGGATTCATTTACTTGCGTGGGCATGGAATCTCTTCTGGTGCGTTTGAATCAGCTAAGCAATAGAATCACACCCTTGAGCGCTCTTCATCCAGCTGTCATCCAGAACGCATTCACCCAGGTGCGCATCAGATCGTTGGCTTAGCGTCATAAATTCACAGCTTGTGTATCTAGAGCGCACAGTTCTTTCGCCTGCCGAATGAGGTCAAGGTACGGGCGCGTCATAAAACCCACCAGAGTTGACAGCCAGACGCTTGCAGGACACTCTTGCCTGGGAGGACCCACGGTCCAACCGAGGTTACGTCAAATTCGGTCGCGAGCGTGTAACTAATTCTACGGATCCGGCGGAGATCGCAGCTTTACGCGCTAATGCGCCTGACTACAAGGAGACGATGGAGATCGGGAGAGACTGGGACTCTGCGTGGAAAAACCAATGGCCTCAACGCAGCGACGCACCGACCTTCAAACCGACAATGCTGGATTTCTTTCAGAAGTGCCACGAGCTGCATACCCATGTGATGCGCTCCATTGCTGTCGGCCTAGACATGGAGGAGGGATGGTTCGACGACAAGATCCAGGAGCAGTGTCACAATCTCCGGCTGCTGTCGTATCCCCCGGTGAAGCGCTCGCTGCTGGAGACTGAAGGAACGGCAAGAGCGGGTGCTCACACAGGTTGGTTGCTTCATCATGTTGTCCCGCTAAGATGAACGCCGAACACAGATTATGGGACCTTGACCCTCTTATTCCAGGATGCGGTCGGCGTCTTTGTCTGCTGATCACGATGCCGGACTGACCCGTTTGCTCTCAAGGTGGGCGGACTGCAGGCCCAGAACCCACACACGGGCCTTTTCGTTCCTGCTGCACCCATTGTAAGATTCCGTGCCCCGCCTGAGATCCATAACTGAAGGAACCACTGCGCAGCCGGACACCATCGTCATCAATGTCGGAGACCTCCTGGCTCGTTGGAGCAACAACACTCTGCGGTCCACTCTCCACCGTGTCGTGGCGCCGCCTGCTACCGTCATCAATGCTGGGGAAGTGATTACTCCCGCGCGCCAGTCGATCGCGTTTTTCTGCAACCCCAACTTTTCCGCTGAAATCGCGTGCCTGCCCAACTGCGGAACTCCCAAATTTGAACCCGTGAACACGGAGAAGTACATCGTGGGAAGGCTGGCGGCCACTTACAGCTGAGCGTCTTGGCATTGAATCAACGGGTATTCTGTGGGTGTAATCGGCCTTCTAGCATGGGCGGTCTGATTCAAATGGGAAATTGAAAATAAGTTCTAGCCAGACTATGTAACTTGTGCCTTGAGAGTTGTTTACCACCGGGTCGATCTGCTGAGCAACTGGCTCTCAGATAGGAGCGTCGCGGTCATGTGATGTGCCCACGTGTCTCAATCTTCAATCGATAAACCGAATCGCTGATTCGCTGTTTCTAAGTTACTGTCAGCGTTATCTTCTGTCAAAACCAAATACACCAGTCATTGGGTCAAGCCCCTGTGAATCCCCGAGTTTCTTTGCCCAGCTATTCGAGGCCGTACCTGAACACTCCCTGCAGCTGCAGTACGACCATCAATCAAAGATTCGGGGATGCAATTCGGATGCCATCGAGCGACATGAGAGTTTGCGGATTCGGACTCTTCGAATGCCGGATGCGCGTTGACCCTAATATTATCAATCAATGTGCATATCGTATATATGTAAGACCCACTCACGCTGTGGTGCCCCCACATGTCTGCCACTGCTGGGCTTCCTTTGCCCTCTTACACCTCCCCCTTGCATTCCGTGTCAAGCCGCACCCCGTCATACTCCGTAGAGCCTGGAGTCTACGAGCAACGCCTAGCTCTAAACCACCGCCGAGTCTCAGCGCCCACAGGCGCCTTCATCAAGTCTTCGAAAAGTGGGGATGCTCGACTCCGCTTGACTGCCCAAAAGGACGGAGCAGAGCTTCCCGTGTATGGGAATGGAGGGAACGTCGAAGGGACTGTCGAGCTGAGCAAAACCGAACATATATCCACCGTGGAAGTCAGGGTGCGCATCCGTCGGGCATGTTCGGCGTGCAAGGGCCCTGTTCACACGTACTAGGTCGAAGGCCGGCTGAGCCTGCGTGAGATGGGTGAGGGTGGTCGTGCGGATACGACCATATGTCTTGATACGACGCTGTTATGGATCAGAGACGAGCGCAACCCGACTTGCCCGTCGTCTCTGCAGTTCTCACTAAAGCTTCCTGCGACGTTCGGACTAAGCGGTCAAACTTTCGTGCGTGCGCTTGACCAGCTAGTACTGTCTCTGATTCTCAGCACGCGTTCAGCCTCTTCCACCCTCACACTCAATCAAACTCAAGGGTCTACCCGGCTTCTATGCCGACATCGAGGCACGCTTTATTTTCGTTCTCTAGACTCTTGAGTTTCCTTATCTTACCCGCGGCGTAGTATTCGGTTAGCGCCGTCATCAACAAACCCCGTGCACTGCCGAATATTGTTCCGCTTGTAAAGTCCAAGAAACTGGGCATCAATATTGGCAACACGACGGTGTCGACACCGTTCATCTACTATCCGCGAACACGCCCCGGCGTCGCGCTTCCGTCACCTATGCAGCACGTTGCTACCGGATTCATCGAGGCACCCGGCTGGAAAGTTTACAATTACATGGTGAAGGCTAACAATCGTACGGGAGCTCAAAACATCAACGTCAAGTTGTATCTTCCAGGTAATTACTTGCCTTTGCCACCCACCGCGTCCCAGCCTAGAACTCGATTTCAGCATCCCGCATCTTCTGTTCGACTCAGACCATTCCATTCTACGCGACATTCGAAGCTGGGAATGCGTTCTCGCTTGCCACGTTCCTCCCGTATGCGCCAGTGGCCGGCAGGACGGGAGCTACGACCAGGCTCCAAATGATGCGGCAGTCCACAGTCGATGTCCGTGCGACGAATACCGGGCGTTCCATGACTGAGATCTGGCGCGTGGACCAGATCGGGGAAGGTGTCTTTGAGCACATCAGTGACGGCCCGACATGGATGTCTTTCTCTGGCACACTCGAGCTCGATCCAGTCAAAGTGACGGGCTTCAACATCGGCCGGCTGTCTGTCGTGGTATGTGATGCTGCCAGTTCATTTGACATACATATTTATGACGTGAAGGACTGCTTGCTGTTCACCGTCACACCGCCCGATGTGACGAAAGCGGCGTTCGTGGGCATCCGCCACATGATCCCTGTCCGTCTGACCACCGACCCATGGTCAGAGGATGGACGAGGAATGGCAGCGCGGGACAATTTCTCAGTTCCCTCATCACCCGATGACGACTCGAAAAGCTTTCATGCGTTGTAACCTCTATTTGTATGTATCAGTACACGATTAGTGTTGAATTAGTACCAAATGCTCCGAGTCCTGTGGATAGGAACCATCTCCTGCGTCGTCTCCAGCCCTTCGATGTGTTCTTCGCCGCGTTCGATCTTCTTCGCAAGATCCCACAAATAAAAGTCGATCAGCACACTGCTAACTTCATCTCTTGCTAGCGAAGTCATCTCAGCCCGCACTCGCTCAACTGCAACGATGCTCGCTGCTCGCAAGCTCAACTCCTCGGCACAACCCGGAGCAAGAATGGCCCCGGTGTTCAATAGCTCGACAAGCGCCGGCGGATAGGACAATATCTTCAGGTGATGCAGGATTTGTGGCACACGATAATCCGCAAACATGGTCAACTTGTGGATGGCCGGACCGACACATCCCGGGAAAAGCGGATGTGGAGTGTTTGACGCAGGATAGAATGCGGCCCAGATCTCTGCCACCAGAATCTGAGCACGTTTCCATAAACAGACTGACAAGGTTCCCTTTAGCGATGTCACCGAAACTCCTGTTCCTCTCCCTCTCACCTTTTCTGCCTTGGAATTGAACCTCGTCGCGGAATGAGGGGAAAGTTTCCACCACTTTCTTGACCAATTGAAGAGCTGTTCCTTGGTCGCCGTATTCACTCTGGAATGCATCCAAGAAGCCCTGGAAGGAACCTCCAAATTCCTAGTCGAACTTGTCATGAGCGACTCCCAGGCTGCAGGACTAGAAACTTACTCGACAGAGAATGGATCCTACTTCTCTCATGATTCTGATCCGCTGGGCCAACAGCGGTACACTTTCACTGCAACCCTCCGCCGGCCGAAACACATGCTCAATCAATGCATCCGGACACAGCGTTGCTGAAGAATAAAATGCTGGATCTGTGATCGGAATCTCGTCGTCTCGAAGCGCTGCATAGTCGCAATCAGTATGAACGAACGCACGTAATTACTGGGGCTCCCACCTCGATTCAGAGCGGCGACGAGACTCCAGTACCCAGTCCACACCTTCTCCTGGGCATCAGGGGCCCAGCTCTCCCTCCAAGCAACCCCGTAGCGATCCGCATGTCCCTCGCGCTCCGACCAGAAACTAAAGTTCAGCGATGAGATCAGGAATATCCAGTTCAGACACGCAGCGGTTTGCGGGTCCGACGGGGAGTACGGCTCGGGAGGACAGATGTGTAGTGGGTGCGTGCGCCAGGTGCGTGGTGTGTACGACTCGCTGCGCATTTTGTCGTGAATCTAGTAACGGCCACGCTTGATTGTCTTGCAAAATTGGACTATTGGGAGCGGAGACGTTCACATACGTGTCTGGCAGCGAATTTGACTCCGTTCTCATTGATCAGGACGACGTTAGTTTTCTGATCAATAAGGGTTCAGTATAGAAAGGTCTGTTGCGAGACACGGTCCACATACACGATATGCGAATTCGGCGCTTTCTACAACTGGGTTGAGGTCTTCCGCGGTGGGCAGGAATTCGCTCTTTTCGGAATGCCCATGTACGGCGTCATGCGTACGCGAGAGAACGACGACTTTCGCCATGATTTTGACTCTGTAGGAGGTTGGACAGGAAAGGAAACCTTGGGAAGTCTGGAATTTGAAAAGTTTGGTCGGCAATCACCATGCACCGCCACCTATCTTCCCGTGTCGACTGCCAGAATTTAGAACAAACTTCTAACAACCTGAATAGGAATCGATGTTTACTCAGTCCTCAGTATTCTTGAGAAGTCAAACAATCCACAGATATTCCGAAAATAAAATTCGGAAGGATAGAGGAAGATTGCTGGAGCAGTCATGTGTCGCGAGTTTACGAAACCGATCACAGGAGAAAGATGCATGGGTTGCGTATATGTACGTATAGAATAGATAGAATGCACATGGGTCGCGAGATAACTACAAAACTAAGCATGTGATCATAGGAATCGAGGCATTTCGAATCTACTTCTTGCTGCGGAAGAGACCCATCGTATGTTGGCCACCGCAGGACACCTTCTCGGCCGTCCAAGAGCCTCCTTCCCGACGGACAATCATCTTTGGAGTGGGCACTTCCAGATCGGGAACACCCAACTCGCCCTGAACTCCCTGTCCCCAACAGAACAATGCGCCGGCTTTGGTGATTGCCATGTTGCTATGCAAGCCGGCGGCAACATACACGACAGGATCGTCCTCGTCCTCGTCGTCGTCTGGGAAGGCGATCAAGGCCGGTTCGGAGATGAACTCTTTCTTCGGGTCGCCTTCCCAAGCTGGATGGTCAGGTGCCAGCCCAAGCTGAGAGCTGTTAGCACGGCCACAGGCGTAGACCTTGCCATCCGACGTGAGGAATAGGGTGTGGTGGTTTCCACCGCTAATTTGAACGACAGTTGCCCCGTCGAGCTCTTCCTTGCTCAAACCGATGACTCGCTTCGGGAGAGGAACCGTTTCGTCTTCCGGGCCGTCCAGACCGGTACCGGCTTGGCCCAGGCTGTTCAATCCCCAGCCCCAGACGGTCCCCTTCTCGTCAACAGCGAACGAATGGTAGATGCCAGCCCCGATCACAACGGCCCGGAGGGAACGAGTGCCGAGAATAACCCGCTGTGGGTTGGTACCCTTCATCTGATGGCGCTCGAGGACCTTGCGTCCGAGCTGTGATTGCTGGCCGGATCCCCATGAGAAAATATGGCCGTGTGTAGTCAGCGCGAGAACGTGGTTTGCCCCTGTTGCAACAGCGGAAAATTTCTCGTAGTCCCCGGGCTTATGAATGAGATCCATGCTGACTGGAACAGGAACAAATTGATGTCGGGCCGACTCCGAGAAGCCGAGCGAGCCCTCATCTGCCTGAACACTAGATGAGTTTCTGAGATGGATCCGAGCACGAGATTGTACTTACTCGGAAAGAGCCCCACAGTCTTATGTCACCGTTGGTGTCGAGCGCTACACATATACTGTCCCCAGTCGCAACCTGAACGGCACGGAAGTTTTCCTTCACCAATGACTCGATGGGGTGCGGGATGCTCGTCAATGTGCCTTCGGGGTCCGAGACACCTTCTGTGACTCGCCCAAGAGCAGCATCATCGTTGACGCCGCATGTCCATACCTACTCGAGGCCATGAGCGTTAGAACAGGTAGCCTGGGGAAGGGACTTACAGTTCCCTTCTCGTCAATGAAAACAGTGTGCATTCCACCAGCAGCCACGGTCTCGATGCCAGCCTTATCTGGACCGAATGCCCCCTCCTCAATCTGTTCTGCGACCCAAGCATGTTTCTTCGGCTTATCAAATTCACCGAGGAAATCTGGTCCCATCCCAAACTGCCCAAAGTTGCCAGCGCCCCAGGCAAAGACCTGCAGCCCTGGTCGTTTCTTCTCAGGAGGGGTCGGGAGACCATTGAAATACGGCTTTGACTGCGGTATAACAGTGATCTCCTTCTTCTTGCTCTTCTTGTCTGCAGCGTGGGCCACGGGCTCTGCCGGATCGATGTTCTCTGGACTCGTGGCCTTCTTGGAACGTTTTGGCGGCGGGGATGGCGCTCGCTCGGGAGATGCTGCGCGCTTTTTGGTAGCCTTTGGCGCGGGCTTGACCTTGGATGGTGGTTTCGCGGCCGCTTTGGGCGCAGGCGGTTTAGGTGCGGGCCCAGACTTGGAGGGGGGAGCGCGGGAAGAGCGCCTGAGCGGTACGGCTTCAGGGCTCATCTGAGGCGACGATGAGTAGAGGGCCTCGAAAGACGCGAGAGAGTGTTTACGTTAAGAGACAGCTCAAGCTGATAGGCAGTGGTGGCAAAAAGCAAAAGCGGAGTCCAAGTTGTAATCGTGCCCGGGTTTGTGTTGGTCAATGTTTGCCTAGTACCACGTGAGGAACGCGTCGCGTCTCAGGCGCGCTGATTGCCGGTCCTGGTCCCGGCAGGCAGAGGCTTGGAATTGTTGACAGGAACCATGCTTGCTCAAGCGAAATGCGCGTTCCGTCCCTCTGCCTCCTGCCGTTGGCTTCATAAAGCCAGATACCCCCCTTTTCTTCCGAGTTCTCTTCCCTCCTTGACACAGTCTCGCGAAGAGATTCTGGTGACAAACCCGGCGGATGGGACGCCACTTTGTATGTGCGTAGTCGACTTCTCCAGAGGCTCGCCACTGAAAAGCACTGTAAGAGTTGAGGCCGCTTCGGATGCGGATGTCAAGGAAACTGTGGCCAGTGCACACTCCGTGTTCCAATCTGGCATCTGGTCCAGGGCACCAGCCCTACAACGATCTAAAACGCTATCACGATTAGCACGAGCACTGGAAGAACGAATAGGCGAATTTGCAGAGATCGAGACCAGACAGACGGGTCGTGCCCTTCGGGAGATGAAAGCACAGCTGGGCCGCCTACCTGAATGGATGTGCGTGGCCATGTGCATCGTATCTTGGACAGATAAGTAAAGATCGTGTGGCTTCTCAGTGACTACTACGCGGCTCTACTACGGACTCAGCAAGCCTTTGTGGCTCCGACTCAAGGGCCGTTGCTCAACTATGTACAGCGCGTCCCTTTGGGAGTGGTGGCCCAAATCACTGTCAGTACTGCATGTCCGGTGTCCGTCTGGGAACTGAATGCCCCAGCCTTTCAATCATCCACTACTCATTGCTGTCAAGAAGATTGCGCCAGCACTTGCGGCAGGTACTCATTGCTCTTCGGCATTGATCTGGCTTCTCAACTTTACCCAGGAAACTCTGTCATCGTGAAGCCTTCTGAAGTGAGTGGACCAATCCTATGCCTGGGCGATGTTATGAATGTCTCCAGCTCGCTCCCATATCTGTGTTGGAGTTCGCTCATCTAGCAGAAAGTGTCGGCCGTAAGGAGTCAAAAGATGACATCTGCGTCAACTTATCTCAACGTCTCACCCTGCAGTGCCTGACGGTGTTCTTTCAGTCTTGCCTGGATATGGGAGCACCGCACAATCATTGTCGGAAAATCCTTTGGTTCGCAAGGTTGATGTTACAGTGGGTCCTGATATCTCCAGTCATCTATCAGGCTGTAAGCCGGTCAGGCAGGAACACATACCGGACGGATACTTGGTGGTATAGTTGGGAGGAATCTTGCTTCCTTCACCGCAGAGCTTGGTGGAAAGGCGCCGATGGTCGTGTTCAAAGACGCCGACATCCCATCGGCAGTAAACGGAGCGGCATTCGCGGCATTCGTGGCTTCCGGTCAGACCTGCGTGTCCGGAACGCGCCTGATTGTCCATGAATCGATATGGGACACATTCATGCCCTTGTTCGTCGATAAGGCTGAAAGTATTCGTAAACGGATGGGCAACCGTACGTCGCCCCTTCCGGCTATCCTTCCGATACTGATATATCACAGCGCTCAATCCCAAATCCACAATGGGGACTGTGATCTCTGAGCGGCATCTCGCTCGAATCCAGGCTATGCTCGATCAACCGACCCAAGGAGACGTTTTGACCGGGGGCCAACGAATGTCTGGTGCATCGGCTCTCGATGGCTTCGACTTTAGTCAAGGCTCCTTTTATCCCCCGACTATCATCGCCAACATTGACACCTCCAATCTTTTATGGCAAGAGGAGATTTTTGGGCCTGTGGTTGTCGCAGTCAAGTTCTCGGTATGTCTGCGGACTGCGAAGGTCTTGACAAGATGGCTCAAACCTGCACGCAGTCGGAACAGGATGCGGTGAAATTGGCCAACGACTGTAAATATGGCTTGGGTGCAAGTCTTTGGACACAGAACCTGTCTCGTGCGCATCGAGTTGCCAACAAAATCGAAGCCGGGCTGTGTTGGGTCAATACCGCCCATCGCAATGATCCTTCGAGTCCTTGGTAAGCGGCGTTCTCTGACCTTAAATCGTCTTGGAATAAGTTTGTCAGGGGTGGGATGAAAGAGAGCGGGATCGGCCGAGAGAATGGAGTCGAGGCATTTGAATCGTGTAAGTCTTGGAATCATCTTTCCGTGAATGATACCATCCCCCTGCAGATTCCCAGAGCAAATCTGTGATCGTCAATATAGCGACGGCTGAGAGAACACGGGAAACAGACGACTGGTTCGCAGAAGACGTTGAAGGACGTCGGTATGGTTAGTTTGGGGGTTGATGGGGTTTGTAAATCTTTGACACCAGTTACTCAAAATCAAGCTATTATCACTTTGTTGGTAGCATTCCCAGTTGGGAATCTGCAAGTAGTCCATGATTTACAAGTCCGTTCAATAAGTTTCCCAAAATACATCCGGAAGAACCTGCCGCATCACTAGTAGGGAACATCAGTCATCAGTCAGTCTTAACAGTCCACAAGACTTACGTTGCCAATGATGATGTCCCTGGGCGTCTTGTAATTTCCCTAGTGGATTGTGTTCGTCGGTAAGTACATAGTTTTCATCGTCCAGCTCCCCAGTAAGCAGCTCATAAGCGACCTCTCGCTCTAGCAAGGACGAGAGCATGCTTTCTCGCAGCCATGAATGAAGGAAGTCCGATTTTCGAGCGGGACGGAAGGTGAGCGGTCGCAGAGGACTGCAGAAGAACACCTTCAGACTGCATTAGTCGACGCCTTGCAACTGCTCGAAACAACGCACAAAGTTCATCAACTCAGTTTCGTATTGCTCGATTTTCAATGACTCGGGGCTGTCATGGAATGCTCGGCAATGTCCGAAGCTTTTGAGCAAAGTCTGTGAGACTAAACGAGTTGCTTCGGATGTGACTGTCCCAGCGATGTTCTGTTGGCATTGTTTGGATCAAGGCTGGGAACAGCTGATGCACCCACTCACCACTACCAGAACACCTTCCGGATGCAACGTAGTTCTGAGTGCATTCCAGAACTCCAGCGTGAAGATGTGTTCGGGAACGCCACCACCTGGCTGAATCGTGAGTCACATCTCAACTGCAATCAGTCTTTCTTACCAGAGAAGCAATCGTGCACGATAATATCAAAGACATTCTCTTCATTTCTAGCCTCGATGCTGGCCTGTTTTCGGAAGACCCACCGCCTTGCGTCCTCGAGGAACAGATTCTCAGAATCATGTTCCGGGAGCCCAAAGTACAGCCGCGCAGCGTCATAAACGGCCGGGTCGATCTCGACAATAGTAGTCTCAATTCCCAGTCGGCGGAATCCACTGGCGGAGATTCCTGCGCCCAAGCCACTGGTGATCGCTGAGAAATGGAGGTAGAAGACTAGACGAGGCAACTGACATGATGAGAGCCCGGTCCCAGGTCCCAGCAACACCCTTCTTCGTGCTATTGACCAGGCGCACCGCCTCCTGCAGAACGAACGTCGCATAGATCGAATCTCCTAGGGCAGTGCCAAAGGAGTCCGTGGGAGGTGGCGCGGAATCAAGTGTGGCCACCTTTGCGCCCATCCACGTTCCGCCCAGTAGAGAATGTGACGCTCGCAAGTATCGAAGCGAATGCATCTCGGCATCCGCCCCACCCCGATAGCCCGGTGGAGGGAGAGCCTCTCCGACCACGATGAGGCCCGTCACTGACTGTACCGCGGAGTGGATGAGAAGAGGGAAGCTGGGATGCGAGTACGGCTCGGGCAAAGGGTGCGGCAGCACTGGCGAAGAGAGCACATGCCGACCCTTCCACAACACGTAGTTTGCGAAACCGATCACAAACGCTCGTAGATAGGGATTCGAGGCGATTCCACTCGGCTTTTTCTTGCGTGGTATTTGCCCGCGGCGGACAGCAGACGGTGCCGGATTTGGGTCGTATGAGAGCAACCAGAAATTGAGCAGCGTAGCAGCTAGCCCATGGAACTAGACACAGCGATGAGAAAGGTGAAGAGTCAAGGTTAGATGCAACCACACGCACCACGTATGTCTCCGAGACACTATCCAGAAACGATGCTCTGCTCCAGACGCCCGCAAGCTTCACCGCGGCAATAACGCACACTATTCCCGAAACAAGACGGCGCACAAGCGCAGTTCTGATGAGACCGAAGGGCTGCGGTCATGTCAATATCAGACTAGGGTGCGGCAGGAGGACACGTACGAGGATTTCCGCGACCAAAACATTCAGCACTAACACCAGCGGAACCAGCGCGACTGTGTGTGTAGCGATTGGACCAAGCACAGGCCACCCCAGCCGTGCAGACCACAATGTCGTCCAATACACCGTCAACGGCGCGACCGAGAACAAAAGACTCGCGTAGAGCAGTACGCTCGATGCTGACACGTGGCCGAAAGGATGGACGGCAGCGAGGAGCGAAGCAGCGACGACCGTAGAGTCTAGAGCGTAGGTGGTCGGCCCGGAAGCGTACATGGGCACCAAAGCGCGCTCATAGATGAACCTAACGAGGGACAGTGCGAGGAGGATGGCTGAACCAGCGCCAACTCGGCTCATTTGGCCCAAAGGCCCTGCTGGCCAGGACATTTTGGATGGGTGAAAGATTTTGACTTGGCAAATGATCAAATAACGTATCCCATCTAGAGGCCGTGTGCGGGCCAAGAATATGAAGAAACACGGCGCTTGGCAACAGTAGGATCAGGTGTGCTAGACATTGACATTACTGACACGATCACGTGATATGTAGTCAGGGTTCATGATCAGGTTCTCGAAGTTGAACTTGACAACGTTTGAACGTCAACAACAGGACCAGCTCATCGGAACAGCCCTGAAATCCTGCATGAGTCAGGGAAAAATCTATCACCGAAACTCTCCGTAAGAATGTGATGTGTTGTGCCCCGGTATGCACTGATTCACCATACTGTGCCAAAAGCCGTAAGTACCCGTAAATCTTCAACTTGGTCTCAAGTGAAGCCGAGTAAGTTGCCGCGCGGCTGGGAATTTCGGATTCGCCGGAGACTCTTCAAAGTGCTCCCATACCTTACCACAGAAACAGCCTACGGGGTGTACCCTCCATATGATTTTACTGCCCGGTTTTCGGACATTCTTCAATCAGAGCCTTGTTAATCTTGGCAGTCAGCTCAATAGAATGCGAATCAATCCTGTCAGTTCATCGTAGAATCTTACTTTTGACTCTGAAACAGACTATTTCATACACATTGAAAGGCTCGTTTGAGGCCGAAGATACGGAAATGATAGACATCGCAGAGGGAGAATCTCACTTTGTTGTTGAGCATACAAGATAAACTCCATCCAATCGAAGTTCTCCAACCCCGAGGATTTACTAATTGGGAACATAGGCGTAGCGGATCTTCGATTTGACACGATCGACGTCACTGTTCATAAGCTCCATTAGGGACGCACTCTTTCTCCCTTCCCCATAACACCACGATGCCAACCGCACCTCTTGATCCTCAAACGGTGCTCAAAGTCGACGGATATCTCGAGCCGAACGTCAACTCCATTGTCCATCGACACGACGTCTTCAGGAAGTGGAAAGATACTATCGAGGAGTGCGAGGGCGGATATGATGCCTTCACCAAGGGATATCTTAAGTTCGGGCTCAACGTGGGGCCCAAAAACGAGGTCGTGTATCGCGAGTGGGCGCCCAACGCTGTCGAGGCGTGCCTCATCGGAGATTTCAGTCAGTCCTGTATGCGCTCACTAGGCGCGTCATTGACTCGCCTCTAGACGACTGGAATAGAGTCTCCCACCCCATGAAAAAAGACCAGTTTGGTGTGTGGGAGATCACCGTTCCACCCACAGGTGGTGGAGCTTGTGCTATCCCTCACGACTCCAAGGTCAAGGTATGTGGACTGCATACATGTGCCTGACATGACAGCGCGGTCTGACCGGACACGTCGACAGATTTCCATGATTATTCCATCCGGCCAGCGCATAGAGCGTCTGCCAGCCTGGATCAGGCGCGTTACGCAGGATTTGAACGTCTCCCCCATCTACGACGCGCGTTTCTGGAACCCGCCTGCCTCCGAACAGTACGCTTTCAAGAACGCGCGTCCCGCCAAGGCGAAGGATCTGCGTATCTACGAAGCGCATGTGGGCATCTCGACCCCCGAAGGCCGGGTTGGAACCTTCACGGAGTTCACGAAGAATGTTCTTCCCCGCATCAAGAATCTGGGGTACAACGTGATCCAGCTCATGGCAATCATGGAACATCCGTACTATGCTTGTGAGCCAGCACATAGCACCACTTCTGTTTCTTATCGGGGTCCGTCTAGCTTTCGGATACCAAGTGACTAGCTTCTTCGCCGCAAGCTCTCGTTATGGCACACCCGAGGAGCTCAAGGAGCTCATCGACACCGCGCACGGCATGGGGCTCACGGTGTTGCTGGACATCGTCCACTCGCATGCGTGCAAAAACGTCCTTGATGGGCTGAATGAATTCGACGGCACCGATCACCTGTATTTCCACGGAGGCGCAAAAGGTCGACACGAGCTCTGGGACAGCCGGCTCTTCAACTACGGGTCACACGAAGTGCTTCGGTTCCTGATGAGCAACCTTCGATTCTACATGGAGGAGTACAAGTTCGACGGTTTCCGCTTCGACGGCGTGACGAGTATGATGTATGTCCACCACGGCATCGGCACAGGCTTTTCTGGAGGTTATCACGAGTACTTTGGAGACGGGCAGGATATCGAGGGTGTCGTGTACCTCATGCTGGTGTGTGTGCTTCATCTTTGACTGCTCAGGAGTTAACAGTCTCTCCAGGCCAACGATGCTGTTCACTCGCTCTATCCCAACGCCATCACAATCGCCGAGGACGTGTCCGGTATGCCACTTCTGGGAATGGACGTGTCTAAAGGCGGTGTCGGTTTTGACTTCCGGCTGTCGATGGCGATACCGGACATGTGGATCAAACTGCTCAAGCACAAGCAGGATGACAAGTGGGACATTGGGAACATTGTGCACACGCTGACCAACCGGCGATACGGCGAGATGAGCATCGCGTACTGCGAGAGCCACGACCAAGCGTTGGTTGGCGATAAGACTCTGGCATTTTGGCTGATGGACAAGGAGATGTGTGAGTTTCTTTCTTCGTCTCTACGATTTGAACTGACAAGGTCCAGACACGAACATGTCTGACCTCAGTGAACTCACTCCCATCATCGCCCGTGGTCTCGCCCTCCATAAAATGATCAGGTAAGGGTTTGTTTGACTCGTGGCGACGTTGAAACGAAACGAACCCTAGACTTCTGACGCAATCTCTTGGCGGTGAGGGCTACCTTAACTTTGAAGGCAACGAGTTTGGTCACCCAGAGGTTTGGACTGGATCCTTATCGTTCATTCCACATCCTGAATCTTGCGCATAGTGGCTCGACTTCCCTCGCGCAGGGAACGACAACTCGTTCCATTACGCGCGTCGACAATGGAACATCGTGGACGACCCGATACTTCGGTACCGTTATCTGAACGAATTCGACGCGGCGATGAACCACATGGCGGGGCACTACGGGTGGCTGGAAGCGCAACCCGCATATGTTTCTTTGAAGCACGAGGGAGACAAGGTGATCGTGTATGAGCGTGCTGGGCTCCTGTTCGTGTTCAACTTCCATCCCACATCGAGTTTCTCGGATTACCGTGTCGGAGTCGGAGCCCCGGGGAAGTACAGTGTCGTGTTGACCAGCGACGAGAAGCGCTTCGGGGGCTTCGAGAATGCACAACTCGGAGGGCAGTATCTCACCACGGATATGGAGTGGAATGGGCGCAGCAACTTTTTGCAAGTGCGTTGAGAGTGGTTATTATCTCTGACCCAGTGACTGAGACTTTCCAGGTCTATATCCCCGCCCGAACTTGCATTGTGCTCGCTCTCACAAAATAGACTGGCTGGCTCAAGATGTACATACCGAATTGTATTTGTCCTCAGAGATTGTACGCATAGAACGGCAAGGAACTGCATCATGTCATTCTCGATTATCACCTGAGCGTTACTCCGATTCAGCGACCGACTAGGTATCAGAAACACCGCCATCTCTGAGCCTCGACGTTCGATGTCAGGCGACTTCGCGTCGGTGTCATTGGTGTCCGTAGCTGGTCACCCACGATCCAGTTCCTATACGAATGACGAGCGGCTGTCTTATCTGTCTCCTATCTCTGAGTAGCCACCTCGACCCAAAGAGGGCTATGATCTCGGTTTTCCAGTTCTGCCGACGAGAGGACGGCAGTGGATGTTTCATGTCTTGGTATCTTTAGGATGCCGAAATGACGTAAACTGACGACATCAAGTCTAAGTGACCCCTATCTGTCCTGTCAACAATCGCCAAAAGCCTAATGCAGGCGCGATGTCGCTTTTCTAGTTTTGCCGAGAATCTGGATTGTGTTCTGGAGACCAAATGGCAGGACAGGGATTGACCCATGCTGGGCGAGCTCGCATATGACAGACAGCGTCAAGAATTGCTAACTTGAGTGCACCGAGACATGTCTCACTTCAGTGCCGCTTCCGAGCCACTTCTGAATCAGGGTCCCATCCGTAGCGCATATAAGGACACCCCTGCCCCGACTCCCATCCAAAAAACCCTTTGCCACAACCGCCATGTACACACGCACCGCATTTTCTACTATCCCCGGCTACGTCGCCTCGGGTTCTGCTCCCACTCGCGTCCCTTCCCACCGCCGCCGAGCGCCGAGTTCCGTCAAGTCTATTATGAAGACTCGGCCCCGACGGGACTCGGTCGCATCCGATATCTCGGACACATCCACTCTCTGCGGTGACGAGGAGGATGAGGAGAACCTTAAAGGTGCAATCAGCTTCTGCCAAGATGTCGTTGTATGCAGTGAGTCCCACATCCTTCCACCTGCGCCTCTACGCCGGAGCTTACGATCAAACTCAGCTATCGACGCAAGGGTACCTCACCCGAGCCGATGGACTCTGCTGCTCGACACACTCAGCTTCCAGCGCCGCAAATTCCTGCTCCTGCACAAGGGCCCGAGGGAGACGCTGCGGCTGAAGAAACCCGTAGTCGCTGAGATCGAAATGTCTCAGTAGGCGGACGACAAGCGTCCAGTCGATGAGGTGGTGAGTATCCCTTATGTTGCCATCTCTCACGGCTCCTGATGAAATCCCTCCAGTAATCACACATCGTCGCTGGCTTGAAAAGAAATTGCCCTCGTTGGCGTTGTACCAAAAGGAGTCGGCCGATGTCGCGCCGTGCCTCCAATGTACATGTACTATCACCCATGTCTCGTTGTTTTAGTTATCATCTGATATCTGAAATTGCTCCGCGCACAAACCTGAGAGTTTCAATCTGTATCTGCTCACCTCCCATACAAGGCTGAATCTCAATGATACGCCCAAGGGCGGCCGACCGACCGGACTAAGCGGCTCGCGAGTAAATTCGCCTGCAACGACATTGGTGATACATGAACAACAAGCGGAACAACAACTTTTTCAGATCTACTCGTGCACGCGGATGGTGTCCGCCAGCGCAGTAATCAAATCAGTCAGTCGCTTGACTTCATACTGCGCCAGAGTTACGTTCTTCTCGTACTCGATGGCCTCTGACAAAGCAGGCATCGGCGTGGCACCGTAGCCTGTGTGCTGAGATAAGACCAGGAAACCACTCAGCGCAAAGAACAAACACATACCGAGCCACTTTCCTGGCGCGATAGCCAGATGTTTGTACCACTCCCGGTCTGGGATACCGTCCTTGGAGATGAACCCACGCTCGAAGCTGACGAGTTTCTGGTTCACAGCGTGGATGCGCTTGACTACTTTTTTAAACTTGGCCAACGGCCACTTGGGCAGCGCCGCAACATCGAAGCCGGCATGGGCGGCGACTCCGAGAGCAGCCGAGTCCATCTCCATCTCAGAGTGGGTGCTGCTGGCAGTGCATCCCTTGCCCGAGAACTGTTTCTTGCATTTGCCACCGAACACCTTCTTGATCCTGCAGATGATCTTGTGCAGTTTCTTCCTCATTTGCGAGTGGTGCTTGGCCCACTTCCGGATCATCTTCTTCAGCTCTTTCTCTGCGCTGGCCTTCTCAAAGTCGAGGCTGTGGCTGGCGGCTTGCAGAGCCAGGATAGATTTGCGCAGAGGCGCGAGATCGACGCCGGTTTGCACGTCGTGCTCGAGGGCATCGATGCTGTTGGCACTCAATACCAAGTTGATCAGTTCCTAGACTTGGCATACCCGTTCAAGTAGTTCTGCAATTCGTAGCTGTAATGGGTCGTGTTGAGTGGCAGGACGGCAAGGGAGGCAAGCCGGATGAGTTCGAGGCCGACGTGTTTGGACACTGCCACCTAGTTCCTCGTCAGCCCAGTGCACTCCTATGGGAAACAAGACACACATGTCGGAAGAAGCCGGGGTCGGCAAAGTTCTCTTGCCAGTGCTGCGAGTCAAACACCGAGTGGTAATGGTACACCGCATCACCTGGCGCACCGCCGAAGCTTGCATCGCTCGAAGCAACCTGTCAAAGAGTCAGGGATTGTCACAGCAGATGCACTCTTAAAACGAACTCCGATCACTTGAAGGAACGCACTACAGAGATGTAAGCAACCGATCTCGCCCATACAAGCATCATGCGTACGTGAAATCAGACCCAGAGCCCAACGGAGCGACACCCAGATCGTCTGTCATAGCCGAGGCAATGCTGTTCGCGGCCATGCTCTCGGCATCAAAGTTGTCCCCGAAGAAAGGTCCGGTATCGCTCCGAGCATCCCAAAGGCTCCGGCCAGCATCGGTGGGATGCGGGATTTCCAAGGCAGTCTCACGCAAGAAGTGCGACAGTGATGGGGATGCGCTCTGCGATACCATCAGCCCCATTGCAGGGTTTTGAAAGTAGCTCTTACCGCGCTGAAACGACTTCCGGAAATGGCGCTGTCTGCAACTTCTGTCAGTCGGAGGGGTTACGTTTCGGTATAAAACTGTTACCCAGGTTGAGATACGTGACGACATGCGCGCCGATGAATTCCGGGAAGTCTTCTGCCCATCTGCACATCAAGTCAGGGCCCAAGCGTTCACAGTCAGAACAGAGCGCACTCAGTGCTGCCGATGAGACCATACTCTTCGGCTGGAAACGAATCGTCAGCAATGTTCGTTGGCCAAGAACCGCTGCGTACCATCCCACGATGCGATCACGATAGTTCGCAGGGGTTTCCAGCCTTTCTTGAGTAAGGCACCCAGTCCACGGACGACCTCATTCGTGGACGCAGTTCCGCTGGAGGGATCAGCACCGCCCATGACCTAGACCAACTGGCTCAGCCGACCCTCAACCAAGCTGGTTCCTGAACTTACCCAGGCATCTCTGTGGTTGCCCAGCATGACGATTTGGTCCTAATCGGGTTGAGAACGGCGGAAGTGGAATAAGTGTGTAACGCATACAGTGATAAAGCCAGGGATGACGCCCATGACGTTCCAGATGGGCATCACACGAGTATCGACTGAATGGCGCGATCAGTCCCAACCAGGAGAACAAACACAAGCTCCGTACCGTTGTTGACGAGATGAACTTCCTTGCCCTTTCCGGCAAGCTCAAGGAGCTTCGCGGCATTGGCAGCAGAGATAGGGATGGAAGGAATCTTGGGGATGTTCTCGCCCTCAGTGCGGGTGCTGTTTTCGTAGGAAGGATACCCTGGGGTCTATTCCGCTCAGCGAAACTAGAGTAGCAAGCTGGGTGTGAACTCCTCACTGTGGGATCGCCAGGATACTTGCTGAGGAACTGGACTGAGCCGCGCTGCACCGAGTTGAGGTTCCTTGCAGGTCCGTTCGGGTATCTGCATCCTCTCGCTCAGGGAGATTCAAGGAGTGATAACTAGAACACCAACGGAAGATACCCGTTCTCCTCGAGCACGGTTCCGTCATCCCGAAGGTCACTGTAGATCAAGCATCTGGAGGAATAACAAATCAGAAACCATACACGCGAGCGCTCGGCACAAGGATTCACCCAGCAGCTCCCAGTTCCTGGGCACCTTTCACCTGGACATTCCACTATGTCAGTACATTCACATGGCAGAGTCAATCCGCGCGGCACCTTGAGACCCCGGAAGATGGCGCCATAGCGAGTGATGACGATGCTGCCCGTGAAATTCACACCCTTCGCAACGAGCGCGTCGTAATCCTTGCCGAGCACGTCAGCGCCAAAAATAGAAGGGCTGGGAGACACAGACAGACCTCCTTGCGTCCGTAGTTCGCGTAAATAAGCTTGCCCTGCACGTCGCCCTGAGCGCTGAGTCCGTGGAATGCAGGAACAGCATCGAAGTACTGTCCGGCCTCAGGATCCGTGTCGTCTGCGACCTCCTCCAGCTCAGCCGTCCAGATAGAGTTACCCTCCTCGTCAATGACTTCGACCTTCCTGTCCAGCGGGGTGTTCATCACGGGGTAGTACACGTCCACTATGAGAGAAGGACAAAGTCGAGTCAGCTCAGTCGATCTCTGCAGGGCCAGATGAAGCGGAACGCACTCCACGCTTTGGGCGCCTTGGTTTTGGGGATAGACAGCGTAGCATCGCGCGACTCGGCCGAGCCCGCAGGGTAGATCGGGGGCTCGGCGCCAGACGCGCTGATGCCCCATTCTTCCTGGAACATGTTCAGGAAGTCCATTGCCGTTTCGAAGTCGCCATCTGAGCCAGCAGGGTGCGGCTGGTGCGTGTAGAGGCGCGACGCAGCCATCGCGCTCGCCTCATCGGGAATCGACCTGTCGTCGGTCGCGTGAGTTTCGGTTTCGGGGGTATGACGTATTTAGGATGAAGGTGGACAACGCACAAGTATAGTTTCTCAGCCTCCTTTCCCCAGATGAACTTCTTGCCCGGGTGAGCGTTGAAGAGCGTCGGGCTCCCAAAGAGCAGGCGCGAGGCGGGCCGCAAGAAGAAGAGGTGGAAGATGGCGATATTGACCAAGACGAGGACAACACCGAGTAGTTTCCGGAAGCGAGAGGCTTTGGGTGGGGTCGCAGAGGAGTCTGCGACCGGCAAAGGAATGTAGGGCCCGTTCAAAGAGCCTTTCTTCTCCATGGTGGGTTGGTGGGGAGAGAGGCGTTTGTGTTGCGAAGCTGACGTCGCAAAGTTGGCCGCGGCAAGCGAGTTGTCCGAGCGTCATCGATTAGATAAGAAGAGTTGATACATTGATCTGCTTGTTTTACTTTTTACACTAGATTGCTGGGATAAACATAATCCTCGAGACCCACGAAGTTCTCCTTGATGCTGCGAGGGCTGACGAATCGGTAGAAAATACTGATGCTTCCCGCCTTGTCATTGGTTCCGCTTCCCCTACCGCCGCCGAATGGCTGCTGACCGACGACCGCACCGGTGCACTTTTCATTGTAGTAGACGTTGCCTGCGGCATTCCGGAGCGCATTCGTCGCCTTGATAAGAGCAGAGCGCTCAGATGCGAAGCTGCAGATCAGATCGGTCACAGTCCAAACAGACAGAAGCAAAAGCACGAACATGGCACCAGTCAAACCATACTGGGAGGTGGAATCGATGAGCTTGAGAGTCGAATCGTACTCAGAGTCCTCGAAGACGTAGATTGTGATGACCGGTCCGAATATCTCCTCCACCATGGTGACAGATTGGGGGTCCTTGGTCAGGATGATAGTGGGCTGGATGAAGTAGCCCTTGGAGTCATCGCCTGCACAAAAATCTGAGAAATATGGCAGACAGAGCCAGCAACAGTACATACCAGTGCCACCAATCAACACCTCTCCGCCAGATTGCTTGGCTTTCTCAACGTAGCCAAGGATCTTTTCATATGCAGGCCGGTTGCTGGTAGCATTTCAACACAAAATGCCTGTTTCAAGATCAACTAGAACGCACATGACGGGGCCCATGTAGTTGGCCCAATCTTCAGGTCCACCGACTTTGATCTTGGCCGTCTCTGCGAGTAGCTGTTCCTTGAAGCCGGATGTCCACACCGAGGAGGAAACATATGCCCGCGAAAGCGCAGAGCATTTCTGACCTGTAAAAATACTAATCAGACTCAAAGGCCCACCGCAGATTTCCACAAGTCCCACCTTGGTACTCGAAGCCACCTCGGATAGTCTGAATCACCGCATTGCGAATTTCGGCACTCGAGTGAATCAGATGGAAGTTCTTGCCTCCAGTTTCACCGACGATCTTGGGGTATCCTTTGTAAGTGTTCAAGTTGGACGCGATGTCTTGCCACAGCTGCTTAAAAACGAAAGTGCTTCCCGTGAAGTGGAGTGCAGCGAACATCGGGTGTTTGATGGCATACTGAGCAACAATTTCAGGAGGCCCAGGCACGAATTGCATGACAGATGGCGGGACACCGGCTTCCTGGAAGATCTTGTACACGATGTAGCTGGCGTAGGTCGCCATCGGCGAAGGCTTCCAGATGGTCACATTACCGACGAGTGCGGGAGCTATAGAGCTAGGAGTTAGACCGCGGAAGCGAGATAATTCGAACACGAACTAGCGTTGAGGTTTCCACCAATGGCGGTGAAGTTGAAAGGAGAGATCGCGAGAACAAAGCCTTCCAAAGCCCGGTATTCCACGCGGCTAAGAATGCCCTCAGAATGGCGGATGTGATCTGTTTCGCAGGACTCACTTCCATGCACCGGCAGAGTTCTTACTGGGTTGCTGGGAATACAAATCCTGGACGAATTTGACGCCAAACCTAAGGAAATCGGCCAGCTGGATGACGTGTCAGACACCAGAAACCATGTTATGTTGAAGCCCCGGACCTCAGCAGCCGCGTCGATCTCAGCCTGCCATGCGTTTTTGCCCTGTCCGAGGATGGTGGCAGCCATCAACTTGTACCGGTACTTGCCCGAAACAAGGTCAGCAGCCTTGAGGAAGATCGCAGCGCGGTCGTTCCAGGGCATGGACTCCCACTCGGCCTTGGCGGTAAGAGCGCCGTCGATGGCCAGTTTGACGGTCGCCTCGTCCGCTTCGTGATACGTGCAGAGGTTGTTGGCGTGATCGTGGGGCATGGGTTGCGATCCCAGTTTCCCCGTTTTCACCTAGAATGTTGTAAGAGGCTGTACCAACACAAAGGGTTCCTGCAAACCTCCTTCCCGTTGACGATGCAAGGGACTTCGAAAGGCAGATCGGCCTGCATCTGTTTGATCGCGCTGCCTAATGCTGCGCGTTCAGCAGAGCCGGGACCATAAGCGCGCTATGTAAGGCTTCAGAATATGAGCTGATGCTCTCACACGGAGATTACCATAGGCTCATTTTCGACTGCGGGAGGGGAGAACAACGCGAGTTGCGGAGATGCCATGGTGGACGATGAGTGAAACCAAGTTCCTTCCGATCAGGTCCCCATCTTATCTACGTTCGGCATGTGCATCTTCGCTTGATCCTTTTTATCAGCCGATAATCAGCGGCTTCCCTTCTCTCCCGCCATCATGTCAATTCGCACGGCCAATGCAAGCAACGCGCTCTGGGGTCAGCTCCTACGGAAAAGCGCGGCTCCTGACAACAATCCTCTGCCGATTCCGCCTGGCGCTCCGCTCGATAAGACCGGAACTTCCATGCGGATCCTGTTGCACGACACGCAAGCCAATTTCGAAAAGTTTTCCGGCAAAGTTCAGCTCTTGACGACTGGGTTGGAGGAAACGAAACGGGAGATCAGCGTCGCGAAGGATTTGTTCAAAGGAGCCCAGGATGCACTCAAACTTGATATTCTTGAGCTGGGTAAGCGTGTGGGCTTGATGTATGCGTCCGAAATGACAAGATTATTCCAGTCAATCGCGCACAGACACGACTTCAGAAAAGCATAGGCGACCCTGTACAGACGTCGGCCCTTGAGTCGCTTCGACAAGACATGGACAGCCGGCTCGGTGGGCTGGTCAAACGTATAGACGAAGTGCAATCAGTACGTATATTGTGTCTATCTCATCAGACATGTTATATAAAGGATTCAGTTCAACCACACCCAAGCTCTGGCTCTTCAAAATGCCTGTCAAATGCTGCAAAATCTTCAAGAACAGCAATGCAAGATCCTTACGACGCTGCTTCCTATGCTTCCTCTACTTCAAGCTGTGCCAGTGCAGATCGACTCTGTTCGGAGCTGTATCAATGAATCTATGCTCACGCTTACACTGGAAACGAATCACCCGTATCAACAGCTTCCAACTTCAGAAAAATCATTGAATAAGCGCAGCTTTGCCGCCTCTGCTTCTTCTTTACCGCAGTCACCCAAGCGAAAGAAACCGGACCAGCCGGTGCCAGCAGTCGTTCCGAGCCAGAGCGCAGATGAACATTTTACAGGTAGCTTTGTCACTAACGACGTCGTCGGGCCTGGTCACCCTCCCGTAAAGGGCATGCTTCAGCCTCAATCCGTCGCTCGGCACCCCCTGCACGATTTGCCCTTGAACAAGACCGATGCCCCCACCGTAGTGGCCTCTTCAAGCCCCGAAGAGTCTGCTCAGAGCTCTTCTGTCGTGTCTGCTCCTCCACTTCTGCTCTCTCCAATCAAATCTTCGACTAGACTGCTCAAATCTATGCCCAAGTGGACGCCATCGATTCTCCCTGTCAAAGCCAAGGCTGTCATCAATCGCACTTCAATGAACCGAGCTTCGTCAATGGCAATCGGGACTGCGGCAATAGTTCGCGGACGACGGTCTCCTTTTGTAAGCGTTTGCTCAATATTCCCTGGCATTTGATTAGATGCATAGTCTAGCGTGACGGTCGGCGCTTTATCTCTCTGGACGACGATGACTCGGACTCCGACGAAGGAACAACCGCTCCCGGAATCCACGCAATCACAACTGCTCCAATGAAGAAGGAATAACATAATGCGAACGGAAATTGGAGCTGATGGACAAAGGATTACTATTCCTATCCACTACTTACCTGAATCACATTTGCTCGTTCTGCCATGTGAAATCCTAGACTTGCCAAGACCTTCCTTTTCGAGCTGATATTCGATTGTTATTGAGTGTTTTGATTTCGATCGCTTCCTCCCGTTCCCGGCGCTATGAGTTCGAGCGAAGACGCTCCTCCTTCACCAGGCTCTGCTTCTTCTTCAGAGCCTGCTCAAGTTTCGCAGCCTGATGCTAGCACTGATGCTGCGCCGGCACCGGCATCGGACTCCGCTTCGCTTCTCGACAAAGCGCGTGCCTTCCTGCAACAACCGCAAATCCAACACGAAGACCCCGTAGCAAAGCGGAAGTTCCTGGTAGACAAGGGACTGGGTGCGTCTGAGATAGATAGGCTAATGAAGGAGCCCGTGCGTCGCCCTCTCTTGCTTTCTGTCTCGGCACACAGTAATGCCATACAGCTCGTGCGCAGACCGACGGTCCCTCCTCGCAGCTATCCTCAGCCACCACCGTCGCCGCTTCCGATGCTGCTGCTGGGTCTGGCCAGGATATTCTCGTGGATTGCTGGAGGCTCGGTGGTGCTGACATTCATCTACTACGTGCGTGTCGCGCAACTGCTCTCGAGACCCTCCATCGACCTCTGCCACGCCAGCGGTTTCTTCTTCCTCGTGTCATAGAAACATTCAAAGCGAGGGGGGCCCTCAAGTCGCATCAGCTCGATCTCATGCGCAAGCTCAACACATCGCTCACGAGCCTCAAGGAGTCTCAAGCACAGACGGCAGCTATCCTCCCACCTCCTCAGAGCTCCCAAGAGCCTCCGGCGCTTGCTGCATGCGGTACTCTGGAAGCCCTGCTCAAGGCAGCAAAAGACCTGGGCCCCCAGACACCTTTGTCCGAATTCCCGAACGTCTCCCTGCTCCGATGTGCGATTTCGGACTATCAAGGGAGCGACCAGACTAGGGAACCAACAACGGTCGAGGTGTTCCGGGTCATGGAGGGCAAGTTGCCGTGGTTGCTATTAGAAGAAGGTGTGCCCTTCGAGGTGCGTTCACAAACCCGGTCCTCCTCCTCGAGTGCTGTCTGACTATTATGCCTAGCAACAATTGTGGAACACGCTCTCAGGGACGGCGTGTTTTGTTTCGAGCCCTGTGAGCGCTTCCGAACGCGAAGGCACAGTGAATTGGAAATATGTCGCACCAGAACCAGCTCCGCCCACAGCGCTGTCGCAGTCTCTCTCCGTGCTTCATGCCTCGATACCCAAACCAGCATCTGAAAAGAAAAGCGCGATGCAGCACGCATTGAATTCGATGACCGATCTGACGGGCTACATATCGTCTCAGATCTACGCACCGTACATGTCGGTCGGCGGGCGTATGGGACCAGGGGCTACTCTCCCACCTGCGGAAGAAGAACTGAGAAAGGAGATCCGGACGCTGAAGGGCCTTATTCTGAATAGGTCTGCCGGCCATCACTTGTATTCAAGACGGCGCTCATATGTTTGCAGGCGAACTTTCCTACTTGCTCCGGCCAGGACTCAGTAGAACCTCGCATGCGCAGTATTTGCTTGACTAGCGGACAGACGTCGGCGATGATAGCGTGATCAAATCAAGGTGCAACAGTTGACTAGGCCATAGGATACCAGCGCACTGAATGGAACGGGACCTGTATTCCAATAGACAGCTCCATGAATCCCCATCTAATCTTGATTTGCACCAGTGCTTGAGAACTGTCTCAGCGCCAACTCGCATGCAATGTGCAAGCCATCTGCACTAGGCTGCACGAATCATGCCGATAGATCGGAATTGCCACCATGGCAAGTCGTCCAGTTCAGAAGCATCTACATCGTAGCTATCCTCATGTCTTTGCCTGCCTTCGGGAATCTCGGACACGCTCTACAAGTCCGAATGAGCGCCCTCAACAGCCGATTTCGGAAGCGAATCATAGTCTGTGAATTAGCGTTCAATAGTTTAGCAGGTTAGAGTAATAAGCAGAAGTGATTCCGAAATCCGAAGGGTTGGTTGCTTGGTACGAGTACAAAAAACTAGAAGTTTAGAACATGTTCGCTAGACTTTTCGCGGCGTCCCGAGCATCCAATCGCGGGCGCTGCGGAGTCCGGACTGTCGCGGACACGGCCACCGGCTGCATCTGACCAAGCGGGTCCAGCCCATTCTGTAGTGGGTTGCTACCAAGTGCGCTGCTGCGCCCATTTTGGGGACCCCGCGACTGCACGAAGCTGCTTCCGGATGCGGACAGCGGATCAGACCCGCCACTGGGCCCGTTTGGTGTGACCGGAGAGGGCACCAGCGGTGACGATATCGAGGGCTGCAGAGATGGATTTGCCGCCGAGGGTGGTTTGATGAACATCGACTTGGAGGGCTCCACCAGACGTCCGCCCAATGGCGGCTCGTTTGATGGCGGCGGCACAGGCGACTGTGCTGGGCTCGGATGATAGGGAAGAGACGACTGAGAAGACGAAGGTGTCACAATTTCCCGCCGGTCATACAGTCCCTTCGTTGATGAAGCGGACGGCGGCCCCGGTGAGCCTAACGGATTGCTGGAGTAAGGCTGAGATACGGTTAAAGATCGCCCGAATGACTGGAATGGAGCTCGCTGGGGTGTGGCAATCCGTGGAGGGATGTTCTGCTGCCCAGGCAAGAAAGAGCTGCCGTTTGAAAGAGGATCCGTGGCCCCAGGTGGAGCTGAAGCTGCTGCGATAGGCGCGATGACTGAAGGAGGCCTAGGAACGAATGCCGAAGCGGGTGGAGCTGCAGCGGCTGGTGGAGCAACCGTTGTTCGCGCCGGGGTCGGTTTCAATGACTCTTCGAGCCCAGGAATGACAGGCACCTTGGGAGCACCGTTCGTTGGGGGGACATACGCGTCCGCAGCCTTGCTCACATCCACGCGCAGCGCTTCCAGTTCGCGAAGGAGCTGCCGTTCATACATGATTGAGGACCGAGCGTGTTCAATGAGAGCAGTGGTGATGTCATCATTGGCGTAGCGGTTGTGGGACTCCAAAGCCTGGTGCAGGTTCTGCGAAATCCCCTGTGCTCTGCGAGCCAGCGTTTGCTCATATTTGTTGGCCTGAGAAGTTATGTCAGTTCAGTGCATTTTATGCTGTATCAGTAGCACAGACCTCCTCGATCTCGTCCAAAGCCTCGTCCACCCGTTCTGGTCGAATATTGGAACTCGCCTTGAGTCGCTCGATCTGCCGGCGTTTCGAAATCGTGGACTTGACAGCAGCTTGATACTCTTCCAAAACCCCAGTCCGCATCAACAAGGTCTCTTTAGCCGACCGCGCATTCATGCCTTGATACCCCAGCGAGTCTCCGAGGATCACACATTCGCTGATTCCTTGCGCTTGGTCGAGGTCAGCTAAACTGTGCCATCCTCGTCCAATTTTGCGGAAAGCGTTGCCCAGGGGTGGGTGCGCTTCTGTTGTGGCGATATTGATAAGCTTGTTTCCCATCTCCGCATGAGCAACAGCCAGCGCTGCAAAGACCCAGTCAGCAACCTCTCCAGATAAGCACATCGAGAAGGCGACGACATTGACGTACATTTCCTCGCGAGAGAAAGCTTATCAACAGACTTGGCCGTGTCGAAGAACTGGCCCTCCAACTTGGTCAGCTCGAACCTCGCCCTCTGCAGATCCTCATCCTCATCCGGCACAGCCTTGCGCATGATCGCAAACCCAGACGAGGCCTTCCGACGGGGCCGGGGCGTCGGCTGGAAGCCGAAGTCATTCTCAATAAACGCGCGCACATCCTCGTCGCCCTGCATAATCGGGTCCTCGCACACGCGCGTGATCCACCGCTGGAGCATGATCCGCACGAGACGGTCGTCCTCCTCGTCCGTCGGCGCCGACGTCTGCGCGAGCGGGAGAGCGGGGACGATCGTCTGCGGGTTGTTGTGGATGATCGCGTCGTAGAATTGCTGGAACTCGAGGTACGAGCGCGATACGTTGCGGTACGTGTTCCCCGTGAAGTTGGACAGGTTCGTCTAGCGGCAATAGCACGTGAGTCCCAGCATGCGGATAGCAGGGTTTTTGTAAAGGACGGACCTGCGCATCCAACTTGACCAGAATATCCCGTCTATTCCGATCTAGCCCAGTGATCCTCACTCGCAAATACGGTTCAGACTTCTCGTAGTGTTTGCCATTAGGCGCCACAGCGTCCCGCGGTGATATCAATCCCGACTCGGGCTGCCCGTAGATCTGCGCCTCCTGCCCGAACGGCCCAAGTGACGGGCCTTTGAAGGCGGTGGTGGAGTCGGGTGCTTGTGATGGAACAGGTGTCGACGCCCGACGAAGATTTCCGGGAATTGGAGAGTTTGGTGGGTGGGGCGTAGTCGGCCACGGCGGTGCATCGTTTGCGTCGTCGTCCTCAAACCCGCCAGAACTGAGTGGGTCAAACATCCCTGAGGGTGAATGCAGGCAAGCCGCAGGTGAGGCTGTGTAAACCTGTTTGCTTTCCATCAGAGCAGATCCGTTGATGCGGCAAAAACAGTGTAGAGGTCAGTACTACCTACAGTCTCAGTCACTACAAGCAGAACACAAGGTGGGATATAAGTTAGATGTATGCAAAGAGTCCAATCATTAATATTCATTACAAGTGTTAGAGGCTGCGATGTCCGATGCATTGAAACTGTCCGTTTATGACAAGGTACAAGTGGGGATTGTGACATCCTTCATGGTGCGACTAGAAAGACGTGAATGAGAAAAATAGGTGGCTCTGTGAGGAATAACAAACTTGGCGTGGAAAACTCCCCACCAGCCCTCGACACCGCCGAATTGGGCATCCTATCAAGTTATGTCAGGGAAATGCTTTTGGGTGAACAAATGACAAGACCCGTACCTTCCAACCCTCATCGAAATATTCGAAAAAGAAGTAGCCCGTGCCATTGGTGTTGGATGCACAGACGAATGTGTCCAAAAATATCTTCAAGTTTGTCAGATATCAGATGTCACATGTTGGTCAGCAGTGTAGGGCCCGACCTGAAGGTTGGCCACCGATGCGTCGGCGGCTCCGTTGGTCTTGGCAGCAGCTGACGAAGAGTTCTGGGGCAGCATCAGTAACTGGCGAGAGCGGATGCTAATACAGCGGATCACATACTGTTGGCCATCCAGTCTCGGCAATATATGCCGTGGGCTACAGAAAGTGAGCCGGAAGCAATCGAATCAACGTTCAGCACCCACTTTATTGCTGACGCCATTCACTGCTGCAACGTCAGTCGAGGTGAAAAAGTCGGCCGTCCAGGAAGCAGCATCTGCAATTGCGGTATTCGCGAACCAAGGGTGGACGTTCGCCATCTGAGGATAGAAGTTCGATGGAGGAGACGAGACACCCGGTTCATGCTCACGAAGTAGTCCACCTGGGCCAGAATCAAGTTGTTTGAGTAGCTGCCCGCATCCGAGTTGCCGACAGGGATCGTCAGACCGAGGCTCTGAACCATCGCTTTGGTATCTGTGATATTCACGAGAAGCAGAGTTGCGGCCTGATTTCCGACAAGCCCATTAGGATCCTGTTGACTCCCGCCGTTGTCCGTGAGATAATTCAAGATGACTTCGTTGCCGACAGTGATTCCAGCGACATTCGTGGATCCATAAGTCTGCAGAGCGGATTGCATCGTATCGCGTTGCCGAGCATACGCAACGCCGCCATCCGACAGGGAAGGATAGTTGCCGAGGAAGACCTTCATATCGACCTTGGTCTGCTTGATGGCTTCCAACTGAAGAGCACATTGAAGTGGCAGGAATAGAACACCCAAAACAACTCACAACGAGGGCCGTCTGGTTGCAATCTGTCAAGCGCTTCAATGTTACTTCGTTAGCGACGATCGCTTTGACTCACCAGAACCATACAACCGGATGCGCTTCGTCAACTGGGACAGAATTTGTATGTCCGCAATAACCTGATCTTTCCGGGAATCAGCGGAGAGAAACGGGCTAGAATGCGACGGCACACGCACCAAGAGAATTACCGCACGAGGGTAGCTGCGAGCCGTACGGTGTATAAGCAAATCCGTAGAACGACTGGTGTAGTCGGTCGTCCTTGACGAAGGTGCTCGGGTCGTTCGGGTCCGTCCAATGTATCAGCCCAGTGACGTTGGTAACTGAGATGGTGGATGGGATGCCACTCGGTTGAGCGGAGCTTGAGTTCGAGGATTTGGAAGACGATGCCGCCGACGTGTTCTTGTGGTTGTGCGAGACAGCGACGCCAACACCAACACCAACGGCGATCACTATTATCAAAGCGACGACCGAACCGCCGATCTAATTGAACACGATGAGTGAAGTGGTGTGCGAGCAGGGGTTGAGTTCGCATACAACGCCATATTTCTTCCTCGATGTCGACTTTGCTGTCGCGAAGGGCGCATAGCTGTCAGTATGTTCGAAGGCCGAATAGGTATTACTATTGTTGTTACTTCCATTCTGGTTGGCGAAGTCAGAATATCCTCCCTGAGGAGCGGTATACCCGGCATTGCCGTAGTCATTGTTGTTGCCCACGGCATGATACTGCGTATTTTTGAAAGGGTAGGACATGGCGCGCAACACAGACGAGAAGAAAAGGCAATCGTGCCGCGATAGAGAAGAGAACGTGAAGTAAAAGGGCAAGAGGTTTGTACCGCCCTGCCAAACACCAAGAGTGCACAGCACGGCCAATCCGGATCAAAGTATAATAATAGCATTGTGGATCAGATTGACAGTTGACAGATACCACAGCGCGTTCATCAACTTGAAGTGGCACAGACCATCGTCCCTCCCTCCGTCCGGCGGCGTGGCACGCCCTCCCTGTCAGAATGCCCTCTACTCTGAAGTCCAAACGGCGCACTCGCACGAAACCATCCTTTCCTTTCCTCGTAGGCTACACGATTACGACTGCAGAATTCAAGGATGCTGTCACCCCCTTGCCTAAGTATCAGACATTGCTTCAGAGGCCGACAGGCCGCAGCTATAACGCGGCGTTAATCTTTTCCATGTCCTTCAAATACTTCTACGGCATTCCAAGCCCAATTTGTGAGCGTTTCCGGATGGGTTCTGCATCAAAGAACTGATTAGATCCGTGTTGCAGTCATTGACGACGAATCTGAAGACGACAGCAACATGCCTGCGATTGAAACTAGGCCCCTGCTCTTTCCAACTCGCACCGTTCCCCAAAATTGGCCGGAAGCGCAGCGCGCGGAGTCTCCCTGGGATCAAACCGTACTGAAGGACATGGTGGACAAATTCGAAAGCATCGGCGGGAGGATCAACTTGGCCCAGTTCAAGTGGAAAGTGGCGAGACCCGAGTCCCGCGATTATCCTCTTGGGGTGCGTTCAGAGAGCTCATGCTCCATGCTGCCATGCTCATCTGTTCTAGTACAACTTCCAGGTCGCGCTCGATGAGGATCAAATCCCTCCTGTACGCCGAGTTGAGTATCCCGACGCCTAGTTAATCGCTGTATCTACACAATTTATCACGTTGCTTTGAGTCTGCTGTTCCAAGAAAAGTGCCGCGGGTTCTGAAACGACGGCGCACGGGTCATGTTCACCGAATGAGCGCTCAGCACTAGGCCGCACGTCAACTGATGTAAACAACGCTATAGACTGTTGCTGAGTGCTCGTTCAAAGGTCTAGGCACAACCACAAGTCCTATTGTGAATCAGATAGGTCTGATAGGCAAAAGCAGGCAGTTGGCACGGCTAACACAGTACGTGAGTTACAAGGCATTGTGCTAGACTCTAATTTCTGGACATATAGCGCATCCGTCAAGTAGCAGGTCTAATTAGTTTCCCTAAGGCATCCGCTGCGATTCAGCACACTCGTGCCTCGCATCCTGATCTGCCAAATCCTTGATACTGAGGCACGAAGGTTCTTGTGACTTCCGTCTGCTTGAAGGAGACTGGGTCTTATAGCCTAGCACAGACATCGTGCGTGCGGCAGCGTGCACACCCTATCCCACAGAATGCCCTCTACTGCTCACAAATCAAAACGGTGCACTCGCGCGAAACCATCCTTTCCTCTCCTCGTAGGCTACACGATTACGGCTGCAGAATTCAAGGATGCTGTCACCCCCTTGCCCAGGTATCAGAGATTGATTCAGACGCCGGGGGGCCGCAGCTATAACGCGGCATTAATCTTTTCCATGTCGTTCAACTACTTATACGGCATTCCAAGCCCAATCTGTGAGCGTTTTCGGATGGGTTCTGCATCAAAGAACTGATAAGATCCGTGTTGCAGTCATTGACGACGAATCTGAAGACGACAGTGACCTCACTGCAGTTACAACTAGGCCCCTGCTCTTTCCAACTCGCACCGTTCCCCAAAATTGGCCGGAAGCGCAGCGCGCGGAGTCTCCCTGGGATCAAACCGTACTGAAGGACATGGTGGACAAATTCGAAAGCATCGGCGGGAGGATCAACTTGGCCCAGTTCAAGTGGAAAGTGGCACGGCCCGAGTCCCGCGATTATCCCCTCGGGGTAGGTTTAGAGAGCTCATGCTCCTTGCTGCCATGCTCACCTGTTCTAGTACAACTTCCAGGTCGCGCTCGATGACGATCAAATCCCTCCTGTACGCCGAGTTGAGTATCCCGACGCCTAGTTAATCGCTGTATCTACACAATTTTATCGCATTGCTTCGAGTCTGCTATTCCAAGAAAAGTGCCGTGAGTTCTGAAACGACGGCGCACGGGTCATGTTCACCAGGTAAGCTCTCCTGGGGCATCATCACCTTGCGCGGCCTGCACGATTCCATACAAACACTTCAACTGACGTAAACAATGTCGTGGAACTACTGCTCTTACTAGGCACGACCGCAAGTCCTGGTTATGCTGTCGCTGTTTCCTTGCGAGGCAGGTCTTTCGCTCCCTGAGTTCCGTTCTATCCTGGTCACAGGGCCGTACCACGCGTCTGCACCCGTACACCTCTTACTATCTCGCGCCACTCTGTTCCCCGGGACGCGCGCCGTCTTGATCACGCCCTCACAGGGAGTCATCGCAGCCGCGCTTCAAGAACACAACGACGCTTGGCTCTCTACACATTCCGGGCAAGGAAGGACGCTTGAGCTGTCCTGGTGCACAACGGTCTAGTCTGCGACTCTCAGATTTCGGCCTGTTCACCGTGGGTTGATGACACTTCTGTCTAGCTATCCCCCAACTCCCGCCCATTTCGCGTTTCTGCTGTCTATGCTCTCTACAGATGTCGACAAGACCCCCTCTGAGACTGTGCTCGAGGGTCAGCTGTCACTTATCGTCCTCGTCGAATTGTCTGCCTACTTCTTGGGGGATGTGCAGGTCAATCCCGGTGGGCTATCCTGTTGCCAACCGTGCTCTAAACTCAAGGATACAGATCGGCATTCTTGGACACTGTCCTCGTACATGAGCTTGATAGCTCATGTCTGGGCTTTTGTTGGAGGTCTCGGCAAGTAGGCTATTAGCACCATTCGCATTACCATAAACCTGACAGGTCGTCCAGGGACTCGCCAGTATCTGTAGCCTTGTTTGATTCCGGGCTAGAGCGACTCAAACTCCCCATTGTGAAGAATCCTTCCGCAGAATCGAAACGGCCAAGCAGAGACGAAAATGCCATATTCTTCGTGCAGAAATATTTTGACACCATGGCTGTCTTCGAGAAAGGTCGCGTCATGTGCATTTGACTTGATTTTTAGTGTAATCAGTTCGAGCAGACGACGAGCTTGCCGTAGACTCTTCCCAAGACGAGGAAAACGAGGTCTTTGGGAGCGAAAAGCAAAATCGTGCGCTGCTTTATAGCCGTGCAGGCAGAAATCCGGAACCGACAGAGACGCTGCGATGGTGCGAACGAAGAGTGTCTGGCGGAGGAGTCTTGTTCGTGAAGAGAAAAGTCGTTGCGTGATGAGACCCGTCATTCTGGTGAGCGAGAGTGCATTCGTGATCATTAATACAGTACAGTCAAGTAGTATGGGAAATGGCGCAAGCTGCTAAGTTGTCTGAGAAGGATAGTCAGCTTGTAACGTTGCGAAAAGAGGCCGAAAACAGGAATGCATCAGATCTGGCCTTGTCCATTCTACACTTGAAGCCGGTGCATAAACCCGAAGAAAACAAAACGGTTACAGCAGTAGCCATCCCTTGGGATGCATTCGGAATGCCCGAGGGCATCACCACGACGTATATAATCACGGTGTATCAGGCGGAGAACCCAACTCACAAGGCTCCGTCCTTATGCCAGAGGAGAAATGAGCCTGCAAGGGAGTCAGTCTAGGGCAGAAGATATTTGAGCATTCGGACGCACTTGATGAGCGAAGGCTGCGGGTTGCTTCGCGTGAATCCAACGTAGATAATGAGAGGGATCCAGCCGTAGTGGAGCGTCATCTAGAGATAGTTAGTCCAACAACGGTGTGAGGAAATTTCCTTCCACACACCCGACTGATTTCAATGACCTTGACAATGCGTTCCTGACGAACAGTCAGTGCATAGAAACGGACAATGGAAGGGGTTTCAGCGAACTTTTGTTTCTTCGGAGGGCATGGTGGAAAGCGGAGAGAGCAGTTGCACGGCACGTGTCATATGCCAAAATTTTGCCCTCGATCAAAAAGTCATCTCTCTTGTTCCACGACGATGACACTGGGAGGCAGCTCGGCCGTGCATATCCAGACATCGACAATCGCAGCGCCATCCGTGCCGTACGTCTCTTCTGCATTCAGGGTCTTCAATCGCTCGCGAATATGATGCCTCTGTTAGCCGCACACCGAGCAGCATCACGATCCACCCTGGCGCCTTGTTCTCCATCCTCGACCACTACCTCCGACGCGCAGATGACCAGCCTCGAGTGATCGGAACACTTCTGGGAACTCGTTCCGCAGATAACACCCAAGTCCACGTCCGATCTTCCTTCGCCGTGCTACACAGCGAAAATGATGAGCAAGTCGCAGTGGATATGGAGTATCACCGGTCGATGTACGAGCTGCACACCCGGGTGACGCCGAAAGAGACTATCGTTGGATGGTGAGTGGATCGCCACTGGACGAGCACACTGTGATGGATCTTCCGTTACAGGTACTCAACAGGCTCGAATCTCAATACATACTCGGCGCTTATTCAAAATTTCTACTCGCAAGAGACTGCACCGCATCAGGCGATACACGTTGCCCTGAATACAGGCATTGAAGAGGGGATCGAAGCGGGCGTACAGGCGTTTGTCAGGTCGGTCATTGAATCTGTGTTTTTGTTCTCTGCTCAGACGAGACTCCCAGCTCCCCTGTTGGTGTATTCCCCAAGCCCGAGAATTGCATTTTTGTGCCAGTCCCTGTACACCTTCAATTTCACGAGACTGAACGGAGCGGCTGTATGTCACACTGCGATTATCCATCTTTCGTACCCTGACAATTCTACAGTGGATCTTCTCATTCAAGCCGTCGACAGTCCCGAAAACTCCTCTGCTCCCGTATCTTCGCTGGCAAACATCGATGCGACATTGACAAGTGTGTCTGAAATGCTCGATCGCGTCCTGGGATACGTGCGCAGCGTGATCGCCGGCGAAATTCCTGGCGACAAGGCGCTCGGACGTTATCTGATGGATGCTCTATGCGTCAGCGCTGTAGGTGAAGACAAGGCATTCAACGCTGCTCTTCAGGTAGCTTTCGATCAGACCACTTCTCTGCTCGCACTAAAACCAATCCAGGATACCTTGATGATCTCGTACTTGGCCAACTTGGTCAGGGCCCAGGCGGAAGTCTCGTCAAGACTAGCCCTCGTTGCTTGATGGCACTGGCTCATATCGTCTCTCAGCATTGCGGCATATTTACTTGTTGTACTTACATGAGGTGGCCTGCGGGTCGCCAGCTGCTGAAAATGCGGGAATGGTGTAGATCATGCCTCGCGGCCAGAATTTCCCCCAGCAGCAAGCTGTTAGCCTGCCCACTCCGTGCTGTATCCCACAGGTGCTGTCCTCTTCCTCGAGACAAAATGCCAGTACGCAAATGAGAGCATCCCGAATGAACAACGCGATTGTGTCCATCCTCAGGCGAGCTAAAGTACGGCTTGCCGACGACGGTGTCCCGAAGCCATGTGTGAGGAAGAACTCGAGACCGGACGAAGCTACGAAGGATCTAGCTGAAAGGTAACTATTCGAAAGCAGAGGAAGCAGATAGGGAGACCACAGGGAGACCGCGAGGAATGTGGGTTCGCATGCCGGATCAGAGATCAATATGATCCGCTTCTGAATCGCACGCAGAGCTGCCTCCGTCCGCCTCAACGTCAGAGGTCAGGCATTGTGCCACCTCCTATGTGAGCGCTGTGATCGGTTCAATTGCACAACATGTCCCCCTCTACTCGGAAGTCAAAACGACGCCCTCGCGCGAAGCCGTCTTTTCCTCTCGTCGTAGGCTACACAATCACAGCTGCGGAATTCAGAGATGCAATCCAGCTCTTGCCCGAATATCAGATATTTATGGAGTCACCGGGAGGCCGCAGCTACGATGGGGCATTGTTTTTTTCCATGTCCTTCAACTACCTATACGGCATTCCAAGCCCAATTTGTGAGCTTTTTTGGATGGGTTCTGCACTAGAGAACTGATTAGATGTATGTTGCAGTCATTAACGACGAAGATGACAGTGACATGCCTGCACTTGCAACTAGGCCCATGCTCTTTCCGACTCGCAGCGTTCCCCAAAGTTGGCCTGAAGCTCAGCGCGCAGAGTCTTCTTGGGATCGAGCCGTACTGAAGGATATGGTGGACAAATTTGAGAGTATAGGCGGGAAGGTCAACTTGGCCCAGTTCAAGTGGAAAGTGGCACGGCCCGAGTCAGACGACTATCCTCTTGGGGTGCGTTCAGAGAGCTCATGGGCCTTGCTGCCACACTCACCTGTTCTAGTACAACTTTCAGGTCGCGTTCGATGACGATCAAATCCCTCGCGCACGCCGAGTGGAGTATCCCAACGCCTAGTTAATCTCTGTATTCACACCATGCTATGACAACGCTTTCAGTCTGCTAGGCAGGAACAGTTTCTGAAATGAGGTCACATGGGTTGTGTTCACCGAGTGAGCGCTCCCAGCCCCAGGGACGCCTGCACCCAACAGATGTAAACCACGCTGTGGACTGTTGCTCTTTCAAAGTTCTAGGCATGACCGCAAGTCCTAGTTGTGTTGTTGTTGTTCCGTTACGAGACCGGCCTTTCGCTCCCTGACTTCCATTTTATCCTGACCACAGGCCCGTACCAGACTTCTGCATCTGCACACCTCTTGCTATCTCGCGCCTCTATTTCCTGGGACACGCGCCATATCAAAATCGACACAAGTTCGAATCCCAGTCGTACCGTCAGCGAATGTTTTCTGCACTCCTAATTTCAGCATTTACTGAGACATGTGAGTGAAGGGGAGAAAACTAAGTGTTTTCTCTATCTCACAAGTTAATCAGCTTCTGTGCTAGATCACGAGTCGAGGGCAGTCATGAGGCAGTAGGTTTGGAGGCAAAATGTGATTTTGGGTCCCAAAGCACTTGGCCCAGACCAGGGTCCAGACACAAGCTTAGCTACGGAGGACAAGTATGTACAGAGTAAATAAATCTATGTAGAATGAAATATGTAATAGGGATGGTGGGCGGGAGAATTAGACAACAAATAGGGAACTGCAAGTACGAAATGAGACAATGACAAGGGTGGCTCGGTGTGCTTGTAAGCTGACATATATGAGACGGGACAATGTAACAATGAGATAATGAGGAGAAAGGGAAAAAAGAGACAAAGGGCGCAACGCAAGAACTCGTATCACAAGTGCTGATCCATCTGGCTGGCTAACCCTGGATAATCCACTCCTCTCCCCCAAACTCTATGTATATGCTGTCAGTTCTGACTGTGTGTAAGAACAGGACAAATGTGTTAGAAAAGCGTAGGCTTTGAGTACATTTCAACCTGAACCCTTTCTAAAGGTACTTATTGTAAAGAGTGATAAAAATGTGTAACAGGCTCAAACCAAGAACCTTTAGACATAAGTGATGTGTATGATACCAATACACCATAGACTCCATGCAGCGGGAGGATGAGTTTAAAACATGCTCGCCGTGTATACATGAAAGCGCCCACATACCTGTTACCCACACTCTCCAGCTCCTTAAATGCACAAAAATTCTCTTTATAAGTGCTAGAAGGTGTTAGGAGAAAGTTATACATGTGGCACGTGCTTCGTCAGGGAGTCCCTTCCCTAAAAGGAAGGTCACGTGGTATGTCAGGGAGGGGTTGACATGGGTCGATTCCTGTCATAGTTTGGCCACTTTTTCATCTTATCATCCACGATCTCATCTTATCTTGGCACAACTTATCTTATCACAGATCACGGCATCAGACGGTCCGGGCTAGGGGTTCCAGGGATTATCTTTATCGATTCAAGGCTGCGCGACATATGCTCCAGAAGGTTCTACTACAACCCATGACCAGTGCTCCATGCGGTACATAGCCTTATGACTCATTAGTTGTAAATATTGTCATAGTTCAACCCTTTTTCATCTTATCATCAACCATCTTATCTTATCTCGTTATCTCGGCACAAATTATCTTATCACGGATCACGGCATCCGACGGTCCGGACTAGGGGTTCCAGGGATTATCTTCATCGATTCGAGGCTGCGCGACATATGCTCCAGAAGGTTCTATTACAACCCATGACCAGTGCTCCATGCGGTACATAACCTTGTGACTCATTAGTTGTAGATATGACTCAGACTGGATTTGGGTATAAATACTGTAGCTACTTGGTTGTATTCTCCAGTCTTCGAATTCACTTCTCTTTTCGACTTTGTTTTTGGGTTGATTGTCACAGATATGACTCAGACTGGATTTGGGTATAAATACTGTAGCTACTTGGTTGTATTCTCCAGTCTTCGAATTTACTTCTCTTTTTGACTTTGTTTTTGGGTTGATTGTCACATAATTCAAAGACTCCCCTCATACCCTTGTACCTCTTACCTCCTACCCTGCATCCCGCACCGCTACGCCCGCTATATCCTCTTCACCCTTTTGTCAGGGGAACCCCCGCTTCGGACCGCTCTGCCTTCGATCAGGCATGTGATCGCGCTCGCGTGACCTGTCAGCTGTCACGTGCCGCGGCCCGGACTGCCACGCCAAGCGCTTCTCTCTGATGGGCACATGGTCAGGTGTCCCATTGTTCCCACTGTCTCGGTTTCCTATTGTTCTCCAACGGCCATTGTACTTATTGTTCCCATTGTTCTTTGTTTGTCGCTGCGCACTCTATTGTTCTTGTATCATATAAATAGTGGCGCCTGGCAAGGAGAATCCCCAACACGGTTTCTCTTTGGATTCTCCCTTGCCAGGTATGCCGGTCTTGTACCTAGCTACCACTATTGTGTGACAATCAACCCAAAAACAAGGTCGAAAAGAGAAGTGAATTCGAAGACTGGAGAATACAACCAGGTAGCTACAGTATTTATACCCAAATCCAGTCTGAGTCATATCTACAACTAATGAGTCATAAGGCTATGTACCGCATGGAGCACTGGTCATGGGTTGTGGTAGAACCTTCCGGAGCATATGTCACGCAGCCTTGAATTGATAAGGATAATCCCTCGAACCCCTAGCCCGGGCCGTCTGATGCCGTGATCCGTGATAAGATAAGCCGTGCCGAGATAAGATAAGATCGTCGAAGATAAGATGAAAAAGTGGCCGAACTATGACATTACCCCCTCTCTAGGGTCGATGTCCTCATCGACTAGGCCAATGGGCGTGAAGACGTTCTCGTAAGGGTCGAAGAGTTGTCGTTGGGGATATGGGAGGCGCTCATCCCTGGGTTTATAGCGATGAATAAGATAGTCCCAGTGTCCAGCTTCGAGAGTTGGTAGGAGGCGAATGCGTGTGTCTGGGTTGGATTGTTTCCTCTGCCAGTCTCTCAGGACGTCCTTCGCGTGGGTAAGGTGTCGTGATGGTTCCCAGGTGTTCTCGCTGTGCGGCCATCCCTTCCATTTGACCAAGTACTGTTTTCCTCGGCTGACTTTTCGCTCTTTCACAATTTCTTCGATTTCCCACTCCTCCGCTCCTCCGATCATCTTGGCTACGGGTCTCTTCTCTCGGCGATGGGGGGGGTGGTTCGTGATAGGGTGTCAACAGTGATTCGTTGAACACGGGGTGTCTTCGGTCCGTATCCGGCAGATTCAGCTTCCATGCGGCCGCTCCAACCTTCTCCAGTATCTCGTATGGTCCCAATCTCTTGTCGCTCATCTTCTTCGATGGTCTGTCCGTCTCGATATTTTCCCCTTCTATGTACACCTTCATCCCAACCTTCAACTCCGGAACTTCTTTTCTTTGTTTATCGTAGTATTTTTTCATTTTTTCTTTTGCTTTTCCAATGCTGCTTTTGCTTTGTCTTGTATTTCTTTGATTCTTTTTACAAATTCCTCCGCCGACTCGTTTCTCGATTCCATCCGCTGCTCTACTCCCTTCCATGGGTGATATCCATGATTGGCGTAGAATGGTGATATTTTGGTAGACGTGTTTATTTTGTCGTTATATGCGAATTCCGCCATTCCCAGCCACTCCGACCAGTCCGTCTGATGGTAGTTGACGTATATGCGGAGATAGTGCTCGATCTCCTGATTCATGCGCTCGGTTTGCCCATCCGTGATCGGGTGATATGCGGTCCCCAGGTTCATCTCCACGCCCAACATCCGGTTCGTCTCCCTCATGAAGCCCTTGATGTATCGTGAGTCCCTATCGGTGATGATTTTGCGAGGGATCCCGTGATAACGGAAAACCTGGTCCCTTGTCAACCGTGCTACTCCTTCGCTGCTGATGTCAGTACGAATGGGTTCGACATGGATTATTTTGGTGAAGGTGTCACACCACACATGGATTGCATCATACCCGTTACTGACCGGTAGTGGTCCGATTTGATCCATGGCGATGATTTCCCATGGTGCGTTTGGAACTGCATGCAGGTGTAGGGTCCCCGTTCTTGCCCTTCTGGTCTTGGTCCGTTGGCATGCCTCGCACGTCTGGATGTATTTCCGAATTTGGTTCCCCATCCTTGGCCACCAGTAGTTCCTTTCCACCATCTCCTGCGTTCGGTTGATCCCTGCATGTCCGACCAGGGGTGTGTCGTGGTGTAGCCCAATGATCTTGTCCCGCAGCTCCTCATCCCTTGGCACATAGAGCTTCTCGTGATACATGATGAGCCCATCTTCCTTCTTCCATCCGACGAGTGACTTCTCCAAGGCCGCTTTGACGCTCCCGTCAATCGATCGAAGGGCCTTGATCTCATTGATTAGCTGTTGATCCTGCCCTTCAAATGTGACTTCTTGTGATCGGAAGAACTCAGGCTTCAGTAACGTGACGTCCTTGTTGTCGTTTTTGCCCTGATCGTGATCCGCTCGTCGAGATAGGAGATCCGCCTTGCGGTTGAGTGCGCCGGGCCGGTGTCGTAGGGTGAAATCAAACTCCGCTAGCTCCGTGATCCATCGTGCTTGCCGTCGGTTGAGTTTCTGCGGTTTCCGGAAGTACTCGAGATTCTGATGATCGGTGAAGATTTCAAACGTTTCCGTGGCCCCCAGCAGTAATTGCCTCTATTCGTCTAACGATAGCATGATGGCGAGCATTTCCTTGTCGTAGATCTCATAATTTTGCTCGGTTTCGGTCAATGCGTGCGAAATAAATGTGATTGGGCGCCAAATGCCGTCTTGATTTTGGCTCAAAACAGATCCTGTTGCCCCTTCCGAAGCATCGGCTTCCAGACGATATTGGCCGGTGTCATTTGGCAGTGCTAGGACCGCATCCTCCGCGATTCTCTTCTTCAGTCCATTGAATGCCGCATGTTCATCCTGTCCCCATGACCATCCAGCCTTTCCTGTCAGTCGTGTCAGCGGCTTGGCTACCTCCGCATATCCCCGAACGAAGCGGCGATAGAAGTTTGTGAATCCGAGGAAGGCTTGGACCTGTTTGACGCTCTTTGGTTCTGGCCATTCCATCACGCCCTTGATCTTGACTGGATCCATCCGCATTGAATTGTGCCCAATAATGACACCCAGATATTCGATTTCTGTGCGTTCGAACTCGCACTTTTCGGGTTTCAGGTACAACTTGTGTTTTTGGAGCAATTCGAGCACTCGTTTTGTGATCCGCCGATGTTCGTCCAAGGTTTCTGTGAAGATCAGAATATTGTCAAGATAAACTACCACGTGGCCCTCGTTGATCAGTTCTCGGAGTATGTTGTTCATCATGTTTTGGAAGGTTACCGGAGAATTCGTGAGGCCAAAGAACATGACCAAGGGCTCATACAGCCCACGGTTTGTGCGGAACGCAGCCTTCCATTCGTCGCCCTCTTTGATCCGTACGTTGTTGTATCCCCACCGGATGTCAAGCTTTGTGAAGAACT